GTTGTAAAATTTCAGTACAATTATAGACAACCGGTAGTCAGTGTGTAGAATTTGTTTACAAAAGGAATTAAACATTTTTTAATTGATAAAATATAAATTATTGTAAAGTAAACATAAAGACATTTTGGTAATTTTAAATATCTAGGTCATTTTATAGAATCTACAGAACATCTGATGTTCGATTATAGGTGGTAGTTAGAGGGCACCTCGGACCAGTGCTCAAAATGAAAGTAGTTGCTTACATTATTTAAATAAAACAATTTTTGTATGGATGAGATAAACAGACGGACTTACAGATTTTACTATCAATGAAAACTATTGAAATAAAGAAACATGTAGACAAATTATTACTGTGCTATTTGTGTTTAAAAATTTAAACGATCCACTCACTCAGCTTTGTCTAAAATTAAATTAAATTAAAAAAAACTTTAAACGCCATTGTGATAGATTGTCTGAGATTTATCTTACAGAATTTTTAATAGTAAAATTTCCACCTTCCTTTATAACAATAATAACCTCCAAAAATACAACATTCACACTTGGTACCATGAAATTAAGAGTTATCAGAAGAAATTAAGATTTTAACGCTGGGAATTATAAAAATATTTTATAAAATAAATCAAATCAATAAAAATAATAATTGATTTTAAACAACAAGACATAAATAGCCATTAATTAATCATTGCTAATATGCTAGTAAATAAAATAGTTTTTAATTCTTGTTTTTCACAATCCACACCATATGCGTGTTATAACATTGTTATTTAATACACTCCAAGTTCCAACAATTATTATCGACGATAATTAATAATGAACCGCTAATGGTTGTGATAAAAAGTGTTAATCATTTGTTTTTCTATTTTGTCATTGCTAAACGTGACGTAATAGGTAGTCAGGATTTACATTTCAAAACTGTAAATTATAATAATATTATGAGTAATGATGGACAATGTTCATGTGTAAGTTAGTACACTCATCCTTTTATTATCTCGTTAACATTTACCATACTTGTTTTGTCGTTCTGTGTTATGATTCATTTAATAATATGTACAAGAGTAAATATTTTTTTCATATAAAAGAATAGTAATTCATGTATCTCAGGCTTATTAAGTTGAATGTAAATTATAATCCATTAATTTGTTAGTATGATATCCAGCTTACCTAGTGTAAGTACATCACGGAACGCCTCAGTATTGCTATAAAAATGTAAATAGGAATTAACTATAAAAAAACTGTGCGTGACGCCAAGTATACCAATTACATTTCACTTGGCAGCGTATAATTTAATTCAGAGAGTCTATTCTATAGAACTCGGCACCTATAAATATTGGTACTTATTTTTGTCAGTGAAAATTATACTTACAATTATTTTCAACGAAAAACAGTTACAATCAACTTGCACCTATAACTTCAAATTTGGCATAGGAGTTCCTTGATTAACAATGTTAAACACTATGTTCTTTGCAATACGTGGAAAATTTTATCAAATAGTGGGTTTGTTGTTGATTCATTTGAGGGTTAAGACTATACAATATTAATAGACTAGTGTAGCATAGTTTTTATGCTAAGTATGTCGTCAAAAAATTGTTTTTTTTTTTGTGAATAATTCAAAATATTTTTTGGTAACAAGTTTTATATTTTATTGTATTTTTTTTAAAGTATTATAACGCGCAAAAAGATACCAGAAAACTTTCTCAGAAAAAACTGGCGTTTGTGTTTTTGATGTATACAAAATTCTTACCTTGAAATTTATGGTGATGGGTAGAAGGTTGGATCCGAGAAATTTAAATTAATAGATATAACTATTTTTAAAATAGAAATAATAATTTATGAGGTATCATTATTTTTAAATTTATATTGTATAAGCCTATCCTCTTCTTTTCAAACACCAAAGAATACACAACTTTAAATACACAACTGGTTTAAAATTTGTTTTTTATATTAATCAAGCATGTTTAGTCGATGAACCCAGATTAACTTGGCATCGTACAAAAGAATTTGGATATTTTAACCAATGCTATGGCTGTGGTCTAATTATTTTAAAAAGAATGATTTTCTTAGATCTATTTACATAGATTGATTGACTGACAGATAGATTGAATTCATGAAATGTTAAGTAAGTCTGTTTTAAAATATTTTATGTTATAAAGAAAAATAACAATACATAATGAGCAAAATTGTTTTTTTAGTTCCTCAAAAAATTGCAAGAGCGAATTTTAATTCGAACTTAATAAATTTTACATTATATAAACAAGTTACATATAATAATCAAACATGAAGATTATCATCACTTTAAATTCATTCAATTTTATTAATAAACTTTGTCTTTATACTTTTATTATACAAAAATTTCAAATGTTCCTTAGAGTCGTTAAATAATTGGTAATTAACTAGTGTATCAGTGATGAAATATGACTTTTGGTAAATTAGAGTACAATAACTGCTATTCTATGGTGCATTGTGTAGAAACTTTTAATAATATCAAATATAATTATAATGATATGTCCCTACGGTTAGGGGTTAAGAATACTTTCACGGCCTTTCTGTCAGTCTTATGAGGTCGCGTCAGCTCGACAGCCGACATAAAATTTTTGTCAAAAAGTATGAGGCGTCCTGAACAAAACTTAGACGGATTGTCCCATCTCGGATGTACGTAGAGCTGTAAGAATAGTTATAGAAATGATGATGAATGAAGAAGAGGTAGAGAAAGACCAAAGAAGAGTTGGAGGAATGTTACTGAATGTGATCGAGGACGGCTGATGAGAGCGTAGATGATGTGGGAGATCGTGTAAAGTGGAAGTTAAGGATAAGGGTGGCCGACCTCAAGTAGTTGGGATTAAGGCGAAGAAGAAGAAATATAATTGTAACAATAATTTATCAGATTTTGAAAAAACCAAAAAAAAATTATTATATATCAGAAATTAACAGTCCACTCTTAAATTATCTCAGTTTTTATTGAAGAACACTTCTAAGACCTATAGTCTACCCTAGGGATATCCTGTTTGGAATACTTAAAAGAGATACAATTGCGCATTATGAAACTCATCTTATATTTCATAGAAATAATTCAAAATAAGCAACTAAAACATTGTGTCTAAACACATTAGATAAAAAAAAATATATTGAATCATATATTAACCAGTAATCCAAATGTTAAAAAATTGTCATTTTCTGGCATAGTTTTGCTCCTAGAATACTTAAAAGTAGAATTAGTTCTTAATTTTTCTCGTATAATTTGTAGTTTTTTTTTGTTTATTTTTTTTTTGTCAATTTGACTTATCTAATATATTTAATATAAAAGTAATAAATATGATCAGTAAGTTTCTGGGTCTGGAGATATATCATCAAGCAAGGACGCCCCTAAATCAGGATCAAACGCGTTACCCGTAAATTGAAGAATTTTTAATAAAATTTTTCTCTATGCACATGAAGTACATAAATAAATAACAGTAATAAAAAATAGACATGGTTACTGCACGTGATATAAAACAATTAAAAAAAGAACACAACAAAAAAATTAAAATTGTTATTCGTTATTTTGAACAACACACAACACAGTGCATGATTTTCGAATTGGGTATAGAGTAACGTATTGTGAAGAAATATACAAATTGGTTAAAAAAAAACCATTAAGTGTTCGTATAAATACAAACAGTCAACGGTGTGATTAACAGTTACGCTACGTCGTGTCGTGATGCAGTTGCAGTCAGACAACACTTCCGTGTACAGTGTAATTTCTATTTAAATCTTCAGGAATATCAATACCACGTGGGCAATGGTCCAGGGACGCTGTCTGGCCGCTGCCGCGTACTGTTCTGCGATATACTCTACTCCACAATGCAGTACGGCTGTATGGGTAATATTGCAAATAATACCTTAGAGTTCTTTTCGAACCGTCCAGGCGACAAACGCAGGAAGTGTTTGTGCCGCTTGAGGATACGGTACGTGGGATAGCAATTAAACTGCGTAGTAGCGTGTCGGCCGATTTTGGCCGTCGCAAGGGGGTTTTCGTTGTACACGCACGAGTATGTGTGTGTGTGTGTGTGTGCATGCCAAGGGGGGTGGTCGACGAGCTCCTTTTTTGAGACCGCAGTGTGCGTGTGTTCACTTCGACCAAGGGGTAATAGGCTCGGCAACGGGGTGAGAAAATCGATAGACTCGCCACCGGCGTATTTCCGTGTCCTAATAATAAATAAAAATAATAATAATAAAACCGACGAGGAAAAACCGAGTGTCGTGCTATCTCCAAATACTCTGAATGGAGCGTCTACCAACACGATTCGCCAGCCTAGTTATGTACGGCGTGTAAAGTCGGCGGCGCGCGCTATCGATTTTACGAGGGCGTCAAAACAACGCAACGTGATTCCAACGTGGAATTCATACCCCCGATCCGCCACCACAGACCCCGTCAACGCCCACAAATATTTCCCAACGGGGCGGTATCGGTTGAGCAATATCAGCTACGGCAGAACCGTGTGCCTTAATGCGTGGATCATGATTAGATAATATTCTGTGAGCTTCAGAAAGAAAAAAAAATAGCGAATACGTGTTATCAATAATATCGCCGAGTACTGCAGTTAATTCGAAACATCTTGTGACATATTTCTGTGTTTTCCCCGTAAGAAAAAAAAATAGAGCTGCCAAGGAAGCAGTTACGATGTACTAAAGACTGCAGAAAACTTTTGATAAGGAATGCCGCACGGAGGTCGGCCGCCTCGTGTTTTTGTCGAGCGGACAATGATTTTACGAGAGAAGGAAAAATATCATCATATAATACATAAATTTATATATATATATATGTACATAAATATATATACATATGGGTTTTTATTATATATATATATACGTATAATTATATGTATACGACGGGTTATGGAAAAAATGTTGTTTTTGTTGTTGTTGTTTGCACGGTTCAACGGTCAACATGACCCATACGCATGGAAAGGCGGGGATATCAGCGCATGCGCACGACTTGTTTACATCTATAGGAGTACGCGCTGATTAATCGTCACACAGACACAGACACATAATATACGTACTCACAAAATAATAACACACACACATACATGCAACGTACATACACAGTGGCGCTTACGTATCCACATGACTTTTCCGCGAAAAATGTTTTCCATTAACAATAATGACACGGTGTGTACGGTAACTAAATCGTTGTGGTCGGTACCAGTGTTTTCGTGCGAACCGTGTGTACAGTGGCAAGTTGCGTTTTGGGTGTCTTCAGATTTTCAAAGTGCCCCGTATGCTGTGCCAGCATGTTCAATGGGATTATCATAAACGTCGCCGCCGTGTGTTGTTTTTATTCGCAGAACTCTAATATTATAATTTACTATTTTTAATTGCCCATCTATATAATATTGTTGTTATTATATGCCACCGATCGCATGCGTGTGCGTCGTGTTGTGTTAATTTAATATATACATATATATGTATAATTTATTTCATATTTTATTTTTTTAATATATTTATTAGTAATGTTTTTTTAGTTTGCTTTTATGAATCGTGTAATCAACTTTTGCTACGTTTTTTAACTGTTGCGATTATCTTTGAAAGTGACATAATATATAACATTATACATGCATAATAATGTTATTGGATCTAGTCAATTGATAGTTCAAATCTGCTCGGAGTTCACACGAGTTCGCGAAAGGAAATACCAGGCAAGTAGTTATGTTACTTATTGCGTATTATTTTATTGCGAGCAACTACACAGAGTAAAAAAACTGATGGATAATAACATAAACACTACATGCCCTTGACATAACTGATGGTTCTTGAATGGATAACTAACATACCTAAGCTCATTTGTGCTATTGACATTATTATTGTCGCTAATATTAAGCAAAAAATCTTCTTCATTAACTCCATACATGACACTTTTGAGTGCTCTCTAAAATAATTGAAAGGTTAGGGTGAGAAATTCTGTTGTTAACTTTTAGTGGTGAATAAAACAAGCTAGTTATCACTGTAAAATGTCAACAACTTTTATTATTCCATTAGCTTCTTATCCATCATGTTCTTATACATAATATCATTCTAATATTGCAAAATATATACAATCTATAATAATTGATACCTAAAACTTAACATTTAACTATTTCTTTACTTGAATATTCTATTTTCATTGAAGTTAATCAATTAAAAACTTATAAATTACAGTGGCTCTTAATATCTCTATATCTTGATTTATTTATAGCTTTATAAATACCAAAAATGTAATCCTCAACATAAAATGATTTCTGTTTTTCTTTATATGTTGAAATTTATAACTATTTTCCAGAAATAATTTATTAAATTTTCAAATCTATGCATCTAATGCATATATTGTTAAAAAATGGTAGTCATTGAAAGTAGGTGACAACTTATTCAATATTAATTGTTTAAACTAGAGATTTGAGGTATATTGGATTATATTATAACATATCATCCATAAATTAATGTCGAGAATTATTGGGTCACACATTTTTTTTGTATTAATAAAATAACAATATTAGACATACGACTTTCTTTGTTTTTTCTACATGATTTGTAAAAATCAGATTACCACAAATAATTTGATAATAATAAAAACGGTGATTGCATGTTAATTAAATAAAAAATTTTTTGTCTTATCTCTATAACTTTTGTTTGGAATATTCATAATTTTTATGATAAGAATTTTTTTTAAATTAAAATCATATATTTGTGTTAAGGTCTACACGATTTTGTTTTTTTTTTTACACAAAACATTTTTTGAATTTCTGTTATACTGAAATGGATTTTTTATCTATTAAACAAATATGATTCATTTCTGATTAATTCATTACTGAATTTTTCTCTTCATAAGATAACTCAATTTTGAGAAACTATTGATTATTTTAAAAAAAAAAGGAAAGTATTGACATTAAAAAAGTCATTGTATAGCTTTAAATCGTAATTTCTAGAAAAAATGTTTATGAAATCTTGATTTAAATTTCGATATAAACTTCTGATTACTAGTTTCATTTGTAGTATGGTGTAATGGATACACTAGTCGTTGAAAAGTTTTAATTTGTAAATTGTCTCTTCTACTATTAATCCTTGAATAGATGATTACTTAGAAATTTTGACTGAAACATTATAAATTATGTCTGTAGTGCAGAAGGTAATGGGATACCATTACACTTAATATTCCCTTAAATACTAATCAAACAGCTGTTGACAGGGGAAAACAACCTGAAAATTAGTTAACTAATTGTAATTTAAACCTTAATGATAACTTTTTTTATGTAGAATTGAAAAAATTATATTTTGCATTAAAATTTTGAGTATAAAATAAAAATCACAATTTTAGTTTCCTACAAAAATCTAAATATTTCTCTTAATTTAAAAATGTTTATTATTAATAGCTAATTAACTAAATTTATCTAATGTATCAATTTGCTATCTCATATTATGTTACTTAAATATATAGTTCAATATAAATCATGATTAAATTTTTTAACATCCACTAAATACATATTCACAAAGTAACATTAAAAATTGATCAAAGTTCTGTTATATGATAACATTTTTAATTTCAAAGGATTTTTACTATTTACAAAGATTCTTACTTATCATGAACTTTTTTTTTTTTTTTTTATAATTTTACAATGGTTTATTTTGAATTTCAACTAAACTTATCATTATTTAAATTTATTAGGGAAAGCGTAACAACTAAAAATAAATAATTTTTTCTCAAGCTGCAAAACTTGTGTTTTAGTAATTTATTGCTTGTAATCCCTACTAAAAAGAAAGTCTTTGGGAATAGTATAAAATATGATGTTTAGATTAAAATTTTTAATAAAATATTAATTTTTAGTGTAATTTCTGTAAAGTTTCAAAAATTCATTAATATTATATTATTACAATTATCATTCAGAATGTTTTTTCGATTATGTTTCAGCATGTATATATGTATCTAATAGTAAGTTAGATTTAAATATTTTATAAAATACAAGAGTATATATTTTTTTTGTCAATACAAATAGTTGCTTATAACATGTTGTGCTTGCAACATTTATGCATAAAATTCAATTTTGAATATTTCGTACCTTCTTTAAAATAATTTTAAAGAATTTTTGACAGCTCTGTAATTATTAATAAAAGTTTAGTTTCTAAGTTTTCTTCCTTTTGCTTAGATAAGTTATTTGCAAACATTTCTCACTTGAAACAAAAAGAAAAATTTGTTTTAACTTCCTGGCTATTTAACTAATCTTATTTTTTATTTATAATAAATATATCTAAAGTGAAGTATATTATAAAAATCTATCATCTTAAGATTTCATTCATGAAATATTTTAAAATAGTTTGTAATTCATAATCAGCATTATTCTGAACTTCTGAAAAGTATTTAATAGTATTTTTAATAATTATTATAAACTGCTATAGGGAAAAGTTCTAAGTTATGTTAAAAAAAAAAAACTAATATATATATATATATATAAGTAATAACATTTTTTATTATTGCATTGAATTTTTTCCCTATATTTAGTCTTATTTCCATCAAATTAAAAAAATATATATGTAAACTACAATAAAAGCTTAATTGATTGTTCATTGTATATAATAATATTCTTAATTTAATACTTAATCATATTTGATAGCCTTTAAGCTTGTATTTTGAGCATTCTTGTTTTAAATACAAGGAGCACAAAAACTTAAATTCAAAAAAGTATTGTACTAATTTTGCCAAAACCAAAATATTAGACAAAATATGTTTATAAATCAATGAATAATTTATAATGTATATTTTGGTTTAAAATAAACTATGTTGAGATTTTGTGTTGTATTAAAATAACATTTTATTCATAGCTACTCATAATTGTACAAAAATTGCTAAAAATAGTAATACTTGTTGATTTCTGATACTTCATTTGATAAACAATCATTGTTTTTAATATTATACTATTCAGCGAAATTCCCGTGTACCAATGGCTTTGTTATTGATATATATATGATAACAGTTTTATACTGTCCTGAAATATCTTCTATCTTATAGCTGTTGTTTGTCATTTTTCTTTTAGTAAAAGATTTGCTAGGGTACATTCAATACTTGTATTAAAATATTTAAATTGAATAAATTATATTTTAGTTTATTTTTTCCATACTTCTTTGACTTGTTTTGATTATTATTATTGTTGTTTTTTATAAAAAAAAAAGTCCTATCATGTGTTTTAGGGTATATCAATAACATTAATTCAATAAGAATAATTAGTAAATTAAACTTATTTTAATATGATTTTTTTTTTTTAGAAATTGCTAAAAATGAGTGTATTGCAATCTGATAACACTCGACCTCGAACTGCAATGGCAGGGGTTGTAAAAATTGGTTACTTGAAAAAAATGAGAAGTATGAGAAAAAAATTCTTTGTACTTCGTGAAGAAACTGCCGTTGGAGGTCCAGCTCGTCTTGAATACTATGAAAGTGAAAAAAAGTGGAGAACTAATTGTTTGCCCAAAAGGTTCATTATATTTATAGTTCTATTGTATTTGTTACTATGTTTTGAATTTTTTAATATCTATATACACTAGTATACAATTATATATATGAAATTTTTTTTTTTTTTGTAGGGTAATTGTATTGAAAACTTGTTTTAATATCGACAAACGTGCAGATGCACGCAATAAAAATGTTTTAAGTTTGTATACAAAAGACAATTATTTTTGTATATTATTTGATAATGAGAAAGAACTTGAGGAATGGTTAGATTTAATGTTAGTACTACAGCGTGTTAATAAAGATTTAGGAACAGGTGAATCATCTAAAGATTCATTTGGTAATTATTTTTTAGTTATTAATTGTATATTAAAATCTATATTATAACTTTTTTTTTTAATTAGAACATATATGGCATATATCAATACTTAAGAAAGAATTGGGACTGAATTCAAATTTGATTGGAATGACTGGACTTTGTTTATGTGACAAAAAAGTGACCATAATGAAGTATCCGACTAGATCAAAAAAACAAAAAACTATTGACATTATGGTATAAAAAAAATTTTCATCCGTATGAATTTCCATAAATAAATTTTATTTTAAATATGTAGTTGACAAGTGTTCGGAGATGTGGAGCCCTTGATACATTTTTTTATATGGAAGTAGGGCAAAGTTCTCCACTTGGTGCAGGACATATTTGGATGGACACATGGGACTCTGATGTTTCTAAAAGTATTCATGAAACTATAATGGGAGCATCAAGTCGAAGTCATGACCCAAGGTTTAGAATGAGATCTTCATCATTTAATGAGGGATCACGAATGATACCTTGTCCATCAAGACAACATACTAATGTTTGTGGTATGTAATATTTAGAATTGAGGGTATTATCAGTTTTTTTTAAATACTAATAATAATAATATATTAGTCTTATGTGAAAAATATAAATCTGTGGTATTTGGGTAAAAGACAAATTAAATTGAAACTTACTGTTAACATTTAAGCTATATTTAATTCCATTTTTCACATGTAAAAACTTACAAAATAATGTTTTTATGTTAACATAAATTATGTTTCATTTAAATTTAAATTTTATTTTTCCAAAAGTTGCAATTTTAAAGTTATTCTCTTTTGCCCAATCACCACAGAAATATAATAATAATATGATTTACTATAAAATACATATTTATAACTTATGAATACATTTTTTAATTTGTAATTTTAAATTATTAAAATACCTGGTAGTTTATATATTAAAATGTGAGCATATATGGAATTAATCCAAATTTTAGATGATTTTAATAAATAATTTTTTTAATATATGTTATTAGCAAAACCTAAAAAGTACTAATCCTAAGGATTATTTCTACAAATTTTTATTATATTGAGTGGTGGTACTGGTATTGTAGTGAATACTAGATTCCTATGTGTTGAGTTATGAAAAAATATTAATAGACCTAGATTTTTGTTCTTTACTATTTTAAAGACTTTTTTTTTCTATATTTTAGATGAAAATAATCCAGGATTACGGTATAGAAACAATAGTCAAAGTTCCTCTATGCTCAGTAATGGCAATATAGACTTATTTCGTACAGGTAAAAATTCATTATGATGAATTCTTAGAGTTAATTTTTTTTACAACTTAATTTGATAGATTTTATAATTAAATGTAAAAATTTTAATAACATATAGAGTAATTAGTTATTTAGTTATAGTAAATTGAGTGCAAAAAATAATTTTTTTATTTTAAACAAAAAAAGGTCCTTATATGGTTTGTAATTTATCTTTTAGATATTAATATTTTGTCTTCATATGAAAAATAACAGCATTTCCACTTGTGGTAATTTTCAATGTATTTCTATAATTTTAAAACAAATATAGCATTATCTTATTTAATAGTTTTAAAAGATCTCTATAAATTAAATATATTCAAATTTTTTATGAGGAGCTATGATTGACTACCTTAAACATTAATTAGAAAGTGGAATTACTGTTTTATCCTAATGGTAGAATTAATCTGTGCATTGATTAACTAAATTAATTATAATGTTTTTGTTTTATATTTTTATTTGACTTAAGAGGTATTACTATTTAACAAAAATATATATTATATGATCTATGATTTTAAGGATCTGTTAGAGAACGATGTGATAGTATGCCTTTACGCCCTCGAACTATTAGTGAAAATACAACTTCATCTACTCGTTCATACAATGGAGTTTTATCCCCAAAACAAACCTTTCATAAAGGTTGCAACTGTGTGTCATCATCATCACCGGCGTAAGCTATTTACAATTTTTGTATATTTATTTATTTTGTGTACAGCAATAATATTTATAATCTATGTTAATTTATACCTTAATTAACTAATATAAAACATAGAATTAAAGATATGAATACTTGATTAGGAAATCTGACAGTTGAGACACCTATAGAATATTACAATTTTTAGTCATTCTTCAGTAGATCTCTGGGTCAGTTTCTTTTCAGTCTTCTATGTAGGTTATTATTAGGTAAAATTTGAGAGTTGTGATATTAGTTTCTTTTTGTGTGATTGTAATCTGGAGTGGGAATAGTTATAATAAATTGCTGCAGATTCTGTAATTGTGTGTTTATGTTATCATAAATAGGGACATTTTGAACATATTTTCAATTATTCTAAGTCTGATTGATTGGAAAGCTTGAATATTATTAACGTTAGTTCAACTCCAAAAAATAGTACCATTATAACGATGTCCATATTGGCTTCAGTAGATCATTTTAAAGGAGAAGTTGGTTCTTAAGTGGTACTTTTGAGTGTAGTAGTAGTTTTATCATATTTAGATGGTAGTTTAGTGTTATGCAATTTTCATTTAGACGTGGAGACTCTGTTAGATACATTTCAAATATGAAATCTAATATACATATTTTGAGATGGTTGGGGGATGAAAGTATAATTTATTAAAATGGGAGGTTAATTTAGATAATGCATACAAGTATCGCATTGTTATTGTAAACTTATACTGATTTAGTTACATTTACTTAAATGTTTCAAGAATATCAAGATGTTCCTATATATGCTGTCTTACAATGTTAGGATCTCTATTTGATGTTAAGATTATAATGTCATCTGAGTAAAACTAGTATCATGTTTTACAAATAATATAAATGTATGATTTAGATTTAATGATTCTGGTCTTGGTGGCTGGGATGTTGCTCTTTCAAAATCTACTGATACTACTGATGGATTTTCATCATTTTATACAAGTCTTAGTGACCAACGTTCAGCTATACTTGAAGAAAAAAATGAAGATTTTGTATCTTATACACCATTAGATCGAGGTAATGTATAATTTTTTAAATATTTTTATCAAAAAAGACATTTTTTGTCCTTTTTGTAAATATTTTTATATTTACATAATACTAAAACTGTACTTATTACTCTTAAAGTAATATAGAAAATAATATAAATTTTCAAATATTTTTAAATACAACTCTAACCCTATTTTTATTTAATAATTCAAAATAAATTCATTATAATTGTAGTGTAGAATTATAAAAAATTTAAATTAATTAACATTTATTGCTAATTAATGATAGATGTATTTAAATATTTTTCAGAAGAAATTAATAGACAAACAAATGATAGTAATGTGAATAATAATATTAATTTAATAAACAACAATATAATTGGTAATAGATCCAGTTCTTCTTCTCAGGTAAAACTATTTTTTAGAAATAATATTTAAAAAAGTTAAAATTTGATTTTTCATCTGTATAAATTTATGTATCAAAATATTTTTAATGAAGCTTCAAGTTGTTAGGTTAAAATTAAAACTTAATTTAATATAAAGAGGATAATACACTTGAAATTCTTGTATTAGAGGAATATACAGATAAATAAGCTATTGAGGACTCAAATTTTTATTATCAATAGGTTATAATTTATACTGTCTCAAACCAATTTATATTTATCTTGATTTTTCATAATTTTTAAACTTAAAATTACGATATGTAGTTTTCTCTTGTATTAAACTTTTTTTTTTTTACATAATATATGTTATTTTTTGTTTATTTAGACTGGTTCTTGTTGTGATTCAAATAGTCCATATGGTTCACCAATAAATTATGATGACCGTTCATACACCCCTTTAAACTCTTCTGGTATTTGTAATTCTCTTAGTTATATATATTGAGTTCAATATTTTGTTATTAATAATGTTACTAATTGATTTATTAGGTATCCCTGAGACATCACCTCCTCCAGATGGATACCTCCCAATGAAGCCCGGTTTCACTGTTTGTAATACATACATGACTATGGGTGGACAAAACAATTCAAATCATGGTAAATATAAAATTCGAAAAAAAAATGTTTAATGTTAGATTTTAGTTTAAGAATTATCTATAAAATTAATAAAGAACAATTATGTAGATAGTCTCTTTATTTATATTTAATTTGTTTTATAGTTTTTCTTTAAAACTAACTTTCTTTATATGTTTCTCTATACTATTAGTACAAAAATTGTTTTCATAGGTAAATGAAATATACATTTTTAATTACACTAATTGTGTGTTGTGTTTCAACTAAATTTACTAGAACACATTTGTAAATTTCATTTATCTTGTACAATTTTAATATTTTGAAATAAAATTATTATGAATTAGTATTATAAATTTAGTGGGATTTTAAAAAATAATTCAATAATATTTATTTGGAGTTAAATAAAAAATTATTTTAAATTTAATTTAGATGCTGTTAGTACACATCATCCTGAAATAACCTTACCTGAAGGATATGTTCCTATGGCTCCAATGGGAGACAAAGTATTTGATTATGTTCCCATGGACTGTAAACAAAGATCTATTGAGTCTGGAACTCCTTCTACAGATATTAGGTTTTCAGATATACACTTAGACAAAGTGTGTGCCTACTTAACTCCATCTGAAGATGAAGGACCTATTGAAAGACCAACTAGAGCTTACTCTGTTGGGTCAAGACCAGATGGTTTAAGAGAAAAAATAGACAAGTAAATAAATGAATGAACAAAAAAAATCTAGTGTAATTTTGTTTGTTGTTGATTATGGAAACTTAAAATCTATGTTGACTGTTACAGAATTGAATCTGATCGTACAAGAACTCGTGCATTTTCAGTTGGAAGCCGTGGCAGATTACCTCCTACTGGGTTAACTCGTAATGGACAAGGATATCAGTCAGGTTCAACAAGTATGTCAGAACAAAGTGACAGTGGAGATCGTATGGAAATAGATTTTAGTCGTAATGGAAAATTTCGTCGACATTACTCAGCGACATGCCGAAATTTATCTATTCAAGCTCCACCAGACATGTCCCCGAGATCATCACCAAAACTTTGTTCATCATCTGATACTTCCTGTTCTAACCGATCTACTGGACGATCACCTCCAAAATCAATTTGTTCTTCCGTAGACATAAATAAGAGAGCCCTTTCAGGAAGTGTTCATGGAATATCTAGATCACCTCCCACTTCAGCTCATGCATACCTTTCACCTACTCTAGAAAGGGTATCTGAGATTCCAGGTGTTGAAATCTTTGATAATTATACACCTATGAAACCAATAAGTTCATCAGAAAAGTATGTTAATAGTTTATTAATTTATTTTTTAATTAAAACTAATTAATATGATTGTTATAGTGCAAAAGTTCTAAATTCAGAGGAATCAAATAAACGAAATTATGTAAATGTTTGGGAAACTCCATCTCCGCTAATTAAAATGTTTAGTTTTAAAAGTCGTAGCAAGGATAAAAAGCGTACTAATTCAGCTTCTTCAGTTATTGAACCCCTTTCATTAAATAAAGAAAGTGTAGATAAAACAGATAATAGTGATTATACTACTATTAAACCTGTTGTTAAAACAATACCTGCAAAAATACCTGAAAAATTAAATAGACAGTCTTCTGATACTGAATTAAGTTTGATTCAAGATAGACTCTCTGATTTAGTATTTTCAGATCAAATAATTGTTTCATCAAATGATTCTCAAAATCACCATCAAACTGAAAGCCACATTACATCCATAGATGGGTAAATGTATAATTAAATATTAAATTTTAAGTTTTTATGAATATTTCCCTATAAAACTAACAAGTTACAAAGAATTATTTCCGTATTTTTTTTTTTATCTTAAATAAAAATTAGTATAGAAATATAAAATTTCCCAAATTCAATAACTATTTCATCCGTTTTTGCTTTCTTTTTGTTTTTTAATTTAATTTGTCCAACCTAATGAAGAAGATAAATTTATTATTAAAGAATAAGTATTTTAATTCTATAATTTGTCAATAAATTTCTAATTTGTTAGGAAACAGGTCAAAGAAATCTGTTTTCTTACTTCCCGAACACCTATATAGTAAATTCATGTGAAATTCTAATAAATATTTTATTAATTAGAAACTTAATATGTTTGTATTAGGGATATTTATTTTAAGCGATTAAAAATGTTATTACATTTATTATACAAGAGCAAAACATTAATTAAAATGGGAAGATTAATTTATTAAAACGTTATTGTGTTATTGTATTATTTAGAGTATTTACAAATATATCCATTTCTTTAGTTTATGCTAATGTTTCAAATTTATTATTGAAATCATCTTAATTTTTTTAAATGGCATACAAATTTAACTAGCCTATAAAATAAAAAATTACATAATTAAGAAAACAACTGATAGGCAACAATAATTGAACTAGTATTTTAGAAGTTACTAACAAATTAATGTATTGACTGGAGATGAGTTGTGGATCCTGTTATTATTATCACAGGATATTTCTCTTCCTCACTCCTCCCGCCTGGGTATATAAATGTATGTCATCATCCAAAAAGATTAAATTGTCACCCCTATAACATATGGGAAAAACAAAAAATATTTTAAACAGATTAATTGAGATACATATGTAACTATAAAAGCCAAAAAAGAAATTCACACTATTATGTTAAGAGAAATCTAATGATTAGCATTATTAAAAGAATAACTCTCTGTAGTTACACCTCAGGCATGCAATTATGAGACTAAAGATAAACTTCAAAATATCTATTAATATTCTAAATAATGGTAGTATTAATATTTATAAATTATTAACAGTTTTTTTTATAAGTATTAAAATTAGTTGCAAAAACTAAATTTTTTAATTTTATGTTCTTTTTTAGTGGTGAAAATGAAAAATCTCCTTATGACCAGACGTCAATGAAAGCTGATAAGACTGAAGAACCGCTTTTGGGATACATCTAGTTATGTACATTATTAATGATAAGCTCTCAATAGGCGTCTATAATTTACATTTATTCTCATTTGAGATGAATTTTTAATATTCATTAGCCAATAGAAAAAGGATTTTAAAGTATATATATATATAAAATGTTCATTTGGTGTGTGTGTGTGCTTGTGTGTCAATATTTGTATGTTGTATTGTGTGTCTGTGTGTGTTGTGTAAATGTGTGTATTATGTATTAAAATATATAATATTATTAAATTGTGTAAAAAAAGAAATATTGTATTAAAAAAACTAGAAATCTGCTTAAATAACTTTTATTTAGTATTATTTTACAAAAAATATTAAAATATAAAAATGCAATATATATACTTTATAATAGTAATAAATAAATATTGATTCGCTTGATAATTCACATCACCATAAAATTAGAAAAATTGAATTGTAAATTCTTGTTACTCAATAATAATGCGTTTTTATTGTTTTTAAATAAATTGTTTGTAATATTTCCATAGATGTTATTGAATTAAAATTAATTTTTTTTTTTTGCATGTAAATGTATGTTGTTTGTACAAAAGACATACATTGTTAAGTAAAATAAATGAGAAAAGTTACAAATTAACTAAAAATATTGTAAATTTGTACTGAATAAGTGAGATAATTTATTTATTTTTTTGTTAATTGTCAATTAAAAGCTATAATCTTTTGATTGAAATGAAGTTTAACAAAATAACTGTTGATTGGCTTAAAATAATGTTTTATTTGTAATTTTTCTCAAAATTGGCAGTATAATATGCATTATTGCCATGATTTTTAGAGGGTGTGAAAACCAATTAAAATTTTTAAAACAAATTTCTAATGTGAAATTTTGTTATGTTTATCTTTAACTGTTCTACTATTTGTGTATTATGACTATCAAAAAGTTACAACTTTTTATATTTCTGAAATTTAGGTCAAAATAGTAAAATAATTCGTGTATTTTTTTTTTTTTTTTTGGTTAAATTTCTTTTTCTAGATAAATTTTGTTGTAGCATATATATACTGAAATTTTTTAAACAAGAATTTCAACATATTTTTTTCTAAAAAATGTGGTTTTTACCAGTTAAACACACGAACAACTATTGTTTTTTATGTTAATTTGCTCACATTCCTCAAATATTTTTCCTATCATATTTGTTTAGTGGTAAAAATTTTAATGGAAAATGCACGTCTTTATGAATAATTTATAATTATATATTATTATTCATTTTTATTAAGTTTGACTTCTTTTATGAATTTATCTTGTGATCACTGTATTTAATATTTAAACATACTCATTAATTTTATTATAGATAAAACAATTGAGAGCTATCAATTTTGTAATATTTATTATTATTATTACAATTATTATTTTATTATTATTATTATTATTTCTATGTTTTTTTTAACAATATGTATTATAGTATTGTTGTCAAATTAGTTTAATAAATTTAGTTTAAAATCATTGCAATAAATAATACAGTGTATATTGAATTATTTAGCATTTTATTATTAAAATATCTTCAAAAAACTACTGGTATTTCTTATTATGCTTCTAAAATCAGCTAACTTATTAGTTGGTTATTTAGACACATTAGTAATATGAGAAAAATTAAATTTGATCTACCAAATAGAATTTATGATTCACTCGATTTATATCCATTAATAATGCAAAATGAATACTGGGGAATAATTCAATGTAAAAAAAAAACAATATTGGTTTAATATAATTATGTAGTAGAGATGTTTCAGGTACTAAATTCTTTAAAATGTTGACTTTTATTCGGTACTCGGTATGTTTGTAAACTTTTATCTAGTATACTGTTTATACATAACGTACATTTACTATCCAAAATATATTTAGTATGTAGTCCTCACGGGTTGAAATAATTTTACCTGAAGTTACTTCTATTGTAAATTAAATATATAAAATAAATTAAATTTATGAAAAGTGGAAAAATTAATGGATAAAAAAATCAAATATCAGTAAACAGAAAAATTATTTAGTTATAAACTATATTTAGAGTATGAAAGTAAGGTAAGCGATCTATTGTTAATTTTAAAATCATTAGATTTTATAAATAATTTGAAGCATTAAAATTGTTTTCTATTCAACATGTTTTTAGAAGGTAATGAATAAAATATTATCTGTGAGTGAATGTCACCTTAGTTAATGTAACCTGAAGGATAAATTATATTTTTATTATAATTGGCATTTATCATTAATAACCAAAATTATTATTTTTGCAAATAGTAATAATATGTGAAAATTACCTAATGTTGCCCCCAAAATAATATCTCTGGAGTCAGAGAAAAGCTTAAGACTTTTTATATAACGCTGATAAAATTACTTGTCAATAGTAAATTCTATTTTTTTTTGTAAAAATAAATATTTTTAATAAATTAGTCTTGTAAATTACAACTTTAATATCTCAGGCTATTAGTGACATTTTATAATTATTGCTATTTAAAGTTTGAATTTAATAGAAAACGCACAAATATACATTATATTTTTTGATCTAACTATGATTTCTTTGATAAATTAAAATAGTTTATAACTGTATTTGAATTCTATCCTAATGATTCGTGCAAATATACAGCGATGTTATAATCAAATCCGATGATTTTCGTACTTGATACTTTCTGTTAGGTGACCCGGATTAAGGGTAGAGGTAAACTTACCTGGGCCCACGAGCTTAAGGTCCCATCTCGAATTTTACTTGTCTGTTATGAACAGTGACATACAGTTTTTCTAGTCACTTTTTTATGGTAGCGATATTCTCCATCTAAACATCGAAATAAATAGAGTATGCTACTGCTACTGTAAAATAATTTCTACAATCCTCCATTTTCCAAGATCGGTACCAGCTGCAGGTACATCATAATAATAAGATTAATAAATTAAAAACTTAATTTTTATTCTACGCGCAACTCACAAAATTGTGAATAGGGAAAAATAATTTCTCTGCCTTGAAAAAAAAAAAATAATATTAATAAATATAACATGGGTTTTGCAAAATATTTTATATCATCTGCGATTTCTAACAAATTTTTTTGCAAAACACTTTTTCTACATAAAAGTTTAGCGCAGACTTCGCTTTCATTATTAAAAAATGATCAAGTAGTAAACATATTCGCTATTATTACAACTACATATATTGTATTATGTTAAATAATTTTATTAGTTCTGCAGATGATCAAAAATTACATTGTTTAAAGTGTATTTTTTTGTTTTTAGACATGTCGTACGGCTGATTAACGATTAGAAAGTAATTTTAATGATTCATTGGGACGATGTTGACTGGTTTCGATGTGTTAAATCCGTGTAGAATTTGTGCTATTGAAATATTTGTATGATATTATTATGAAATTAGGTAATAGTTATCCAGCATATTGAAAATTACACAGACAAAAAAAAGCCACGTAATAAATAAACATAGTTCATGCAAAACACATTTTCAGAGTGAACAAATATTGTTTGCAAATAAAAAATATGAATCATTAAATCATATACCTAATGGGCAGCAGGCACGTGCTTTGGATACCGATTCGAGTTGCCCGCCGTGCGCTTATTTTTCTGCAAGCTGCGCCATACTTTTTACATAGGCAATTATAAAAGTTTAACGGTAGACGATCAGGAGAGCACACGCGAGCTCGGTCGTTTGCTGCGCTGTGACCGCCTAAGCTTAACGCATACATTCCATCACGCATCCATGCAGGTAAGTTTGAATTATTAACTATTTGATAAAATTTATCTATTTTTCATTTTAGCGCTATGTCTAATAAAAATTGATTTTATTTTATGAAACGGATTTAATTCGATTTTTTACTACTACGTGATTCGTTTTCGCGTGTTATGTTAAATGTATATTTATTTGTTCGATGATCATGGCCTATGTGATAAAAAGTAAAAGGTCACCGAGCCTAGTGCTATAATTAGAGAAATCTAAAGAAGATAGATTTTTTTTAACCTTTAATAGCCATTATTTTGTTAAATCATTAATTGTTGTACTTTACGTATAAGTTAACGTTATCTGTTTCTAAGGGCCAGGATTACAATATATATATTTGGTGTTCTGTTTTAATTAATTATAATTTAATTTATTTCATAATGAATATCATAAAAAAAAAAAAAAATCAAAAAAGTTTATCATGAAATGTAGAATATGTTAGAGATTTTTTTTTTTTTGATAGTCGACACTATCGGTAGTTTATTTGGAAACTTGTTTATCACAGTGGCTGAGATAAAATTAGTATTTTATTGTTTTTCGATTGGTAATGCATTGTAGACACTATCGAAAACAAATTAATCGACAGTATTTAAAAGTGCATAGTCACGGGATAAGATAAACTATCAGATAAATTTGGAAGTTTCAACACTATGAATTATTACTCGGAGCTAACGATGGACCACCGTCTGCCGCATCCCATACTTGTCTGGCCCAGTAATATTGATCTCGCATCAAACATAACGTCAAAAGCCAGACACAACGACATTTCGATGGCAACCGTTCGACGATGATAGTTCCTCAAAGGGTTTTCAATATTATTTTATTAGGTTACGTAAATCTATAGTAACTATGAAGATTTGATAACATCGACGAATTCCCTTCGATTTGTCCACCGCCATTTCCTTTCCATTACATTGTTATTACAAATTCGTTTTTAAACTTATCAATTGCGATTAGATAACGTTGTTTGAATAGAATTCATTATTTTACTTAATTTTCATTAAACGAACCAAGTAAAATTAATAAGTTTAATGATTATTTATTTTTTTTTCAAGGAACATTGGGTGTCAACGAATACAATCATATTAAATGCAACCGTAATATTTGATATCAATATGTCTATATTAATTTTTCAGTTGTTATTATACGTATTAGTAGTACCTCAGTATTTCATTTCAATTGTTGCGTGGAATAATAATAATAACACAATAATTATTTTTATAGTACTTCATTATTGATTCTAGATATAGCTAGAATTACTAATTAGTTATGTTGTTTGTAAATAATAACCTTTGGGAGTTATCACCTAGTAAGATTTGCGTGGATTTCTTATCGCGCCAAAATTAAATTACTCTATCGAAAGTTCCTTTTAACTCGCTACACTCTGTAATAGTACTTTCGACGGTAAATATTTAGAAGTTGTTTGTTGTGAAGAAAATGTCAGAGGACAAAAGATATAATAAGGAAGGGTCAAATGCGAATGATAGTTTAAAGAGGTGGTGCGGCAGTATTCTATTGGGTCAAGTGATTTGGTCCCTGTATAAGGCCGACCTCGTTGCAAGGATAGCAAAAATGTACCCTGGCACGGCGGTAAACGATCGTGACTGTGACCCAGTTGCCTTGAACGCTGTCATTCCGCAAAAAACCCCTCCGTGCGCCCCTCGCCAGCAGAAAATTAAATAGGTCATTCAGTCTCACCACTGCGCGGACTAACTAGACTTGTTTCCCGGATTTTTAGCACCCCGGCAAGCTGTGGCGCCATAATCATTGTGTGCAAAGATTTCTTTTGAATAAACGAGAGTTTCTCTAAAACTCACATGATTCGTCCAGTAATTTGTCATGCCCTCGAATGGCGGCGCCTAATATAATAAGCATCAAGTATTTATCGCTCAGAATTATGTTCTAGTCGTGTTACAGGCACGCGATGTAAAAGTCATTCGAGATTTTTATCAAAAATACATTCATAGAAATGTTGAAAATGTGATCGATTGCTTTGCAATTTAATTCATTAGAATCGAGTAATTTAATGGAATTTATTGAAAACAAAAAGTTTGGATACTTTTGGTAAAAATCAATAATAATAGAATTGCTTTCATCAGTTTGAGTCTTGCAAATAATATATTTTTTCTTAAATTCATTTTTTTAATTATTGTAAGTACATGTAATGTACACTTTGAGGTTTTGAACATTGGCTTTCATAAAAATTAATAAAATTAAGTTTTTTAAAAAATATAATTGTAATTAAATATTTAGCCAAACAAATTTCAACAGTTTTATTTTATACGAAACTTTTATGACAAAATATCTCGATTTTTACAATGGTTAAAACATGCACTGTCGTTTTTATTGTAAAATAACGTGAATAAATTGATGACACTATACATAAAACAATTTATGCAAAAAATAATAAATACAATAGGTGGTTATGGAAATTGATTTTTTTATCGTCCTCATCAGTTGTCAAAACAATAAATAAACATCATACCGCAACGAGAAAAATTGAAAAGTTTATTTATTATTTATCACAATTGTTTATCGTTTTTTCGAGGACTTTATTTTAAATAGAAATGAGAGTATAAATGTTTTATTCAAACAAATATATTTTTGTGTTTTTTAGAGTAAATAAGTAACTAAATAAGAAACTATTCAACGTTTCTTTCGTGTCTATTTTAAATAAATAACTCAATCGTATAGAAAATATCAATTTTTATTTAAATCCAAGAAATTACTAAGTTATTTAAGCTTATTAAAACTTCATTTTTATAGAAGGTGTCACAAACCAAATTGACTACGCTTATAACTTTTGATAAAATCGTTATTTGGACGAATGTTTTTTTTTAATAATTATTGTCTTCTTAGAATGCGTTAAAAAAATATTTTTTTTATTACTTATCACTAACTAAAAAATTTATTTATTTTTTTGATATTTTTAACAATTTTTTACAAAAAATGATCGATGACAACTTTAGAACAAGTAATTATTGAGTTACAAGCATCTTCGTATACGATATTTTATTTAAATGTCCATCTACAAATTTATAATTACTAAATTATATTTTCTACACAACAACGTTAGACATTATGGCGTACACAATTTTATTATGAAATAATCAATGATACTTTTCCAATTATTATTATTATTATTATTTTTTTTTTTATGAGACTTCAACCTTTTGAGTTACTTTGTTTGATATTTTATGTAAATTAAAACCTGCGTTAATTTTAATAATGATTGATAATAGAGAGTGACAATAAAAAATTGACCGTTATTCAAATTTTTAATGATGATTAAATAAAAAAAATAACACTTACCCTGATTATCAAAAATTTCAAAAACTTCTATAGTGATAATAAGAATTATTTTTAAAAGATCTCGAACAACATAGCAATTTGTTTTTAATAATTACATGATACACAATCATATTATGTAAATACAATTTTATGATGTTTTGAATAAGTTTATAATAAATTTATTGCTGTAAGGGTTGTGCATAACCCTTGAGGTTGTGTTACATATATTATTGCTAGAAATACATTTTTTTATAGTCACTAGGCCTACAAATACCGAATTTTATTAACATTTGAAAATCAAAATTTAATTGCTATGTATTTTAAAGCACTATAATTAATCGTTAATTTTCACAATTTATAATCAGTTTTCAGTTGATTTGAAACTAAGTTGCTCACTATATACAAATTGTCAATACACGTTTGAATCAACCAAAGTAAAGTCTATATGCATTATTATGTTTTTTCCTTATAACCGTTGGAAAAAAAATCACTTTAAGTATTTGCATTTACAATATCTCAATTATAAATGTTTTGTGTATTAACAATTTGCTCTTAATTACCTACTCACTTATTTATAAGTAGAATAATACAATTATGTGTACACACACAAATGAATATATCGCGTAATAATCGCAGTATTTTTCGATGCATATTATTATTCATTTGTATGTGATACCTATTTACTAAATACATTTTAAAATGTAATGTTTTTTGTGATAGAAATAGCCTTTATAAAAATTGGCGCGGTAATGATATGTAACATTACATTTNAAATACATTTTAAAATGTAATGTTTTTTGTGATAGAAATAGCCTTTATAAAAATTGGCGCGGTAATGATATGTAACATTACATATTATTTTATATAATATATAATAAANTATGTAACATTACATTTTATATTATTTCGATCCACATTTAAAACGATTCATGAGAGGAATTACTTAATATTCCATTAAACCAATTTTGTCTTAGTTGGCCTACATTCTATTATACGTTTATTACTACAAATAGTTAAAAGGAAACCAATTGTATTCCAGTTGTTATTAATTTATAAATAAAGTATTTTATTTGCTTTTCTCTCGTAACACTTTGTATTGTACAGAAATTATATCAGGACAAATTACAATCGAGTAAAAGTTTAATAATCACACAAGCTGTTGATTTATAAGCCTTATGTAGTATTAATTTACTGTATTAAATCACTACTCCATTTGTACTTGATTAATTTTTTAAAACTATTTCATAATTAAGAACGTCCTAAGGCTGGAACGAGTAAAGTCCACTTAAAAAATCCCAAGTTTACTTTATATACTGCGATTTACATATATTTCAAAAACGGTACGCATTTTTATTTGACAATTAATGAAGTGAAATCAAGTAAGAAATACTTGTACAGTATAATCGCTGTGATAATAAATGCATAAGTGTTCTATAGTGTAATAAACAAATCATACATAGGTTAGTTGAGGTACTAGTAAATGTAATAGGTATAAATACTTCACGTACGTTAACATTTTGAAATAGGATAGATAACAACTAATGGGAGTGTAATTGCTTTTGTGCGGAAAGCATCAAAAATGTATTTATAGGCCCGCTAAAATAATTATGACTCAGCAAATTGTACAGAATTCTGTCTAAATCTTGCAATGTAAATCAGGTGGTTTCGATTATTACACATGTACTACCAATTACGGCGTAGCAGACGAAGGAAATCAAATCATATAAGAATAACGTTTAAAAGATATTCAACATTATGGAGACTGATATGCAACACTTTCATGAAAACCATCAATTTCATTATCAGTGTACCGGTGATTCTTGTACTACTCCTCGTAATGCCAATTACATTAATGTTCAAATGGATCGTCTCTTTTGTCCATCGTATCGCTAGTTTAGGAGGTTAATTATTGAAATTTGATTTCGACTGTTGTTACTAAAATTTAGTAAGTATATTTAATATACTTTGTAATTAAAGTCTTAGGTAATCTAATGAGCAATGACGAGATACGTTGGCTGGGTGATAGTTGGTCTCAATCTACAGTGTTTGTTGTATTTGTTCTCGATTCTGAGATTGAACTTGGCTATCTACAAGAATTGGTAACCAAAAGAGTATTGTCAAAATGTCCGCGACTGAAAGAACGGCCTGTAGTGCTTACAAATGTTTTTGGGAATTCTTATTGTTGGATGTCCGAGGGCGACTCGTTCAACATAAACCACCACGTCTATAATATAAGCACACGTCCGATGGAAAAGAGGGAAATCCAGGTAACACATAATGACTATATATCTATACATTAATACACATCTCAAATGGTGAACTAGAACTTGGCATTTGCTAACCGTTGTAACAAAAGAAAACAAAAACGTTGATTATTACGAAATATACAAAGAATTGTATGTTTCTATAAAAAATAAAGATGTAAAGCTTAGAAACAATTCTAATAAATTTATTCATTCTTATTGTTATCATATTAAATATTAAAAAACTTTCATTTTTTATGCAAATTTTAACGTTAAAACTTTTTTAGGTAAAAATGGATTAGACTTAAAAATATTTTGATGAATATTTTTACGTTTTTTTAACACCAAGATGTCTATATATTGTCATAAATAAACATTTACAAGTATAAATATATAAGTTTATTTAAAAAAATTTAAATATTATAACAATAACAGAATATTTTGATAGAGCAATAATTAATATTCATAAAAGGATTTTTTCAATTAAGTATATTAGCACATTTGAATAATAAAACATCCCAATAAAATTAAAAGCAATAAATATGTGAACCAAGTTCTAAAAACTGTATCTCTGAAAGCAAATTAAAAAAATTAATTTAGTAGTGTTTAATATGTATATAAACTCTGCTGGTTTATAAGTTAACATTGTCTAAATGCAATGTTTCATTTGAAAAAGTTGTTCTCCATAGTTTTGTAATAATTAGTTTCACAATCAAACCAATCTTTATCTTCGTCACTCTTACTAGAACTGTCGGTCAATAGCCAGCTTGTCTCATTTTCGGTCCTCGAGTTAATACCTTCCGAGTACACGCGTTTTTGTCTTTGATCATCCTCCGAAAAAACCTGAAAAATATTCTTCCAAGAAAGATAATTTTCTTTGGCTTTAGAACATGTAACTTTTGATTCTTTCCATATACGACTTACACATTTTTTACTTTTATTTAAAAGTGACTTAGAATTTTCCTTAACAGAAAAGCTTTGGGCTCTACAGCCAATGGATTCCTCAGATTCGTTCGTGAACAAATCATAATCATGTTGTAGACCTTCGTTTAATATAGCCGAAGAGCGACATTTTGGAGCTGAAGAGCTTTTTTTCGTAGTTTCTTCGAGAGAAATTAATCTCGAATATTTTCTCCTGGAAATATAGTCTTTAATAAACAACGGTACCAAATATTCCTTTAGACGTGGACGGTCCATAGGAGATTTCGCCGTACGTTCAGGACTCTCTTCCAATCTTGAATATATTTTACCTTTTTTCAAACATTCAAATTTTCCCTTGGCGTTTTTCCAAGGAGAACCAAATTGATTTCTTAACTTGAGAGACGGTGTACTACGACCGTTAGAAGTGACAAATCTGTCCATTGGTACATGAGAACTGTCAGCAACTATATGATATTCATTTTCATAATACATGGTAAAATGTTTTTTTCAGAATAAATGCTCTTAAATAGTTTCGTTTTCAAAAGAGATTAATTATGAAAAATTATAAAAAAAAACTTGATCAAAATCACGCCAAAATTGTTTATTCAATGTAAATAAACATTTCCTCGACAACCTATTAAATGTTTACACTTTATTTTTACTAGCTAATGTAATCTAATTTTGAATTAAGTGTATTAATAGATGGGATTTTATTAAGTTACATATAAATAATAATATATACAGTTTTTCCAATTTTTTTTGTTGTACAGTTGATAAAGGTTTAAAAATTATTTCCTTTTCATGTTACATGTAGTCTATTATTATTCATTATATATTTAGTCTACAACTTAATTTATATGGGCCAACATCCATATTAATATTACTGATTAACTCGTATAAGATATCAAGAAGATAGTTCTAAATTTTTACCAAAGGCAGTGACTTCGATTTATCAGATATTTTTCAATGAAAAATGTGAAACTCCAAAAGCACATCAAAAGGTTTATTTATTAAATTCTGTGATCCTTTTAAGTTTCTTGAAATTAGAAAATTCTTATACAGAGTTTATAATTATATCTGTTTTTTACGGTAATACAATAAATATTGAAGTGAGCACAGTAATCAAAATTATACACATTTATTTTCGTTAGTGCAAATAGTGTTTTGAACTCAGACGTGTTTAAGTTCCTAAAACCAAAGAAATTTTTCATCACACTGCTCAAAATGGTATACCCGACTTTCTTTTTATCTATTTATTAACAAACAATTATGCATAAAATACATTTATACATATATTTTTTCTTTAGAATTGTGGTATTTCAACTATAATTGTTAAAACCAAAACATATCTACTTCTCCCTAGCCGTTATCCCAACTACCTAGGTCGGCCATCCATATCCCAAACCTTCACTTGACATGATCTCCCACATCATCTACATACACAATTACAGTCTTTATATCACTCCAATTACATCTAATCACCTCTTTTTCGGTCTTTATCTTCTTCGTTGCAAAAGGAAGAATCCAAAACATATTACTATGTTTTGATTAAAATACACATACCGATAACATTGCATACTGTCTTAAATAATAAACGAAACACCGAAAGGAAATGTAGTGTCGATACGAAGATGATAATGAGTTTGCTGCCTGGATATTCACGTACGTGTGATTGTACAGCAGTTACCGTGTTCAGCTGATTCAGATTGGCTGTGGGTGTCGAAAGGCCGTTGTTATAGGAATGGAATAAGGGTAACACTTAGGTATGAGGTGCAGACGAAGTGCAAGACAAAAGTACTCTGAAATGTAGAGGGCGAAAGTAGATAAGTGAAAAAGTAGAATAAAGAATTGACTTTATATAGTAAGACAGCAATAACCGAGTACTACTGAGACTGATGAATGACACAAATCAAAGGGCTGCGTACTGGAATCGACTGACCACGATGGCCAGGTCTCTTGCGTTTAAATAGCAATTTGGATGATTGTTAATTTTTCAATAATTATTTTTTATTGTCAATTCATCAAATGCTAGTAGTGCTGTTTGTGTTTTATTAATTAATTGTTTATAATAATGGAATGGTGAAATATCATTGAGGATGCTAATGTTACCCTAAGGGGTGCAAAGAAGTCCAAGTACCTCCTATTTTTCATTTTTCTTATGCAAAAGTAAACGTTAAGTATATGTGAAAATTTGCTATTAATAATTGTTAGATATCAATTGTAATTGCCTATTAATGTTTAATTTATTTACAGGGATATATTAGTCAATTAGTCTCAAGAGGTTTATCGATTGAAAAATCACCATGGGAGTTGCATTTACTGTCACAAAATAACGAGTCCATGAACGGAAAAAGAGACTCGGTCGTTATATTTATTGCTCATCGTTGTTTGGCAGATTGGATGTCTCTAGCAAAATTATTGTGCACATGTTTGTCAGATACGAAGACCTACTACCATTTATCCGATGTAATTTTGATCGCATTTACCCTATTGTAATTTATAATTAAATGCCATTTTTCAGAAGCCGACAAAAATACGATATTTGACAAGTATTTTGAGGACCATAATGACAGGACCTGCTGAGCTTTTATGGAAAATGATCAGCACCATAAAAGACAACAGCCTTGTTACATCTGACTCGCTATCTCTAAATTACAATGTTAATTGGTCTTGTTTTCAAGGCGCTTTAAGTAAATTAAACCGAATTAATCAAGTTACTAAAACACCTCACAACTACATAGTATTGTCAGCAGTAGCCGGATCAATACATACAATGATGAAATTATATAGAATGGAACAATTGGATAACATGAACGTAAGAAAACTTACATAAGTTTAATACATTTAAAGTTTTTTATGAGTTTATAAGACATGCAAGCTTATATTTTATTGTTCTATTTGTGAGAATCTCAAAAGTAATCGATAAAGTATTTTATCTACTATTGTTACCCATGCATGATGTTAAAAATATTACATATCCGAAAATTGGTACCATTTCACGATTAGTGGCGTAGACAATAAATGGGGGTTTAAAGGGACAATAGCCTCCCTCTCTATTGACTAATTATCACATTAACATCGTATGACTTCAGCGCTAGTAAGAGTATGTGATAAAACAAAAATAGGTGTTCATCTCACACAAGCAAAAACTTATTTATTTCATAAATAATAACAAAACTAATTAAATATAACGGCAAACCTAAGTTTATTTACAATGTTATTCCCAATAAAGGTTACAATTAAGGCGTTATGAATTTTATAACTGCATATTTGTACATTAATTTAAGAATATATTATTGAAACAAATCTAATGAAAAATACATTTACTAATTTTTATTATTGAAATATAAGATTAAGATAGCGAATTTTCGATATTTGTTTCATAGGTTTTGTAAAATTTATTTGTTGCATTCCAAGTGTACGACAATATATTATTAATAATATTTTAAAGGGTTTGCCTTGTTTTCGTTTTGAATGTTGAATAATACAACACGACCTTTGAAAAACGATTTTGGAGTACAATACATCATAGATAATACACGTTGTCAACTTATGACGATGAATAAGAAAAACAAAATTGGTTAAATATAAAGGTATCACTTCTGGCTATTATAATTTATTGCATACATAATTTATGTTTATTCTCCACGAGTTTATATAGTTTTTGGATACTAGGAATACCCAAACGAACTCCAAGAATTTTATAATTAATAATAAATATCAAAATTTATAAATGCACAAATATAATGCATTTTAATATAACTGACAGAATATACCTATGTGGTATAAAAAGTAGTAATGATAATATGAATACAGTAACTGTAACTGCAACATGAGTCATTTTATTATTAAAACTCACTTTACTTTCATAACTAAAGAAACTCTTAAATAAATTAAATCGGCTAATATTTTAAATTTCTATTAGCTGAAGCTTGAGTTTAAAAGTTAAAAAATATATCATCGGTTAAAAGGTTATTTGCTGTAAGCAATAAAAAAAAAAAATAATAATGGTTAATCTATAAAACTATCAAAGTTAAACTATTTTAAAAACAAAAGAAGGCGAAATAATTTTCTGGTTCTCGCCAGAAAACAATTGCAATCTCTGCTAGTGTCTTTGTGACACTTTGCCTTCTTAGAATTAAGTCGAATAACAATTTTGGATATTTAAAACATTAAAATATATATAGGTTAATTATTTTATCATGAACATATTAATGAAATAAAAAATATTAGGAATTTTTTTTGTTTCTTTAAATTATATACTTTTTTCAATTTATGAATTTTAAAGTATTTTTTATGTTAATCATTTGTATACAGAGTGAAGAATTAGTAAGGAAACATGTCAATTGTTACTTATATTGAAAACAATTGAACCCCGTTTCTTTACTTACTGAACACTATGTAATAAGGTTGTCAACTTTACATTTTCAAATAACAACTTACATAATTATCTAACTTTTTTATTAAATAATCTAATTAAGAAAATTACTAGTCGATAACAATTATTGAACCAATATTTCAGAAGTTAAAAATTTAAAGTAATGATTAAAATAAAGGCGTAAGTACTGATATTTTAATAACTAGACATTTTGTACTTTTTTTCTTACCTAAGTATAAAACTATTAATAACTTCTGAAACGCTGATTCTACAATTGTCACCGAGCAGTTATTTTTTAAATTAGATCATTTTCTAATAGTTAAGCTCTGTAATTTAGTATATTGTTATTTGAAAAATGAATAATAAATATAAATAATTAAAAATTTTATTTTTATTTCTTATAGATCGTTTATCCAATTCAAATAGGGAACAATGATTATACATCTCCAGTTCTAGTACAGTTACCTACTGGGATCGAAGGCGCCATTCCAAGATTATGGTTCACTAAAAAAGCAATGAAAAATATGTATCGATCCGATCAGTCGCTGCTACAAGCAATTGTCTCTCTATTAATGCCTCTCAATGCATCAGGGACTAGAATGCTGTTATCCGAACTTACTGATAATTTGGTAGGACGAAAACATTAAACGTAAGAAAAATAAACAAAAAATATATTTGATTAGAATTTTATAACTATAGGCTAGCGTTCAGTTCAGTTGGTTAGCTGGTCCTAGATCAAGAGTTTTAATTAAAGGATCACCATTGAAAACTGTTTATTCTATCTTACCATCTCAGAAAAATATTGGCGTGTCGATATCGGTGTTTATATATACTGACGATTTATTTGTTAGTGTTGCAGTAGACAACGCCATAGGGGAGGCATTCGGCAAAACTTTGTTGAAAAACATTAAACAACAAATCGATCAAATGTATGAGTTACTGAGATATAGAAGACTTTCAAAGGATACCAAGGTAATTTCATCGTTACCCAGTCATTTTAAAGATTTGGCAGCGATAACTATAAGAGACGTAAGTGGATTTTCTATTTTATCTTTTTACATCAAAGTATGATACTGACGATGCGAATTTCACAGTTAGTCGTAAAAATGAGAGACATTCAGTTGCAGCTTCAAATGTCAAAGGAATTAGGTGCTTTCGACGACGATGCCATTAGGTACGTAAATCAGCTCAAAGAAGAGTACTTAACATTGCTCCGGGAATTACGCAAGAGAAAACAAATTGGTCAAAGGAAAGGAATATTTCAAACGTGTAATTTTACTAAATATTGTACTGACATTGTAAGTAGTGTGAAAACCTTTTTTGGCTGAAATCATTTTTTTTGTGTAATCGAATAGAAAAAATAATTTGCATCGATAATGTAATAATCAGTTATGTCCGATTTTTTATATATGGTGTTATAACATTAATAGACATGTCTTGTTGTGTTTTTGATGCAACACAAAATATGTCCAGACGTTTTTTTTGTCTGATGAAAATTAAAAAAAAATATACTTGTCTGGTTGTTGCCCCGTGATCTTCAATAATTCAATAACTCGTGATTATTACAAATGACAATATAGCATTGAAAACTGTATTTATTATAAATATATTAATTGTTCTTTAACATTTACCCATAGCTCGAACGTCAAGTTGGAGATACTTCACCGTTGCAGACTTCAGTAAGAGTCAGAGAAATGAAAAACTTATTAGTTACACAAACTACTCAAGAATACCGACCAAGAATACATATTTGCAGAGCTGAAAAATACGAAAAAGAGAATTTTTTAAGTCTACCGAAAATCCCAAGGAAACCAATAATCACTCAGATATAATTTTTTTCTGAGGAACACTAAGGTTATAATTTTGAGTGCTTCCATGTATCTAATTTTTTGTTTGTTTATTTAAATTTCTATCAAATTATGAATAGAGCTTACAATGTGTTCATTTATTTTTGTCGATAAATAGTAATGCTAAAATATTTTTAACGGTAACGTTATTTGAAGTTTTAATAACATGTTTGTAACTTAAAATACATGTTAAACTTTGTAGAATTTTACAGTGCCTACATTGTTAAGTAAATATTTAATTGACAACAGCCTCTGTTTTGAACTTTAGCATTATTATCTAAATTATTTAATGGTATAGTTTTTAAATTTTTATTGTCCTTAAATAAATTATTATCCTAGTGTAATTGAAACATTCTTATTTGATGTGTTTATAGAGTTAATGGATACTAAGACCAATTTTATAGAAACTTATGCTCACAAAATATGAAATTCCAATTAAATATAGCTATAAACACCAATTGTTACTTTTTTCTCACTCTAATTTTATTTAAATGTTGTTGTTTCAATTTTTTGATCATTATTATAGAATTAGGTAAAAATATTAAACCAAATTGTAATTTGCAGGGTTAACTTGTTTTAATTGTTATGAATTCACGGTAAATTATTGTATTTAATAATTTGTTAATTGTGTGTTTTATTAGATGTGTAATATAGTGAAAATGCTCATTATTTTTAACACTTGGGTCATCTAGATAATCATTAATTAAATTTCTTGTTAAATTTGTTATCTATTACTTAAGTTTTACAATAAAAATATATTAGAAAAATAGGGGTCAACAATGGTCATTTTATTGTTTTAATTTAAATTTTTGAGTTATAATTAACCAATTATTTGAGAATCAATTAAAACAATAATTTTCAAAAATAGATATAGACAATTTTAGAATTTTACACGGGTAATAAGCCAAATAATTTTGCTGTACTTCATCATAATAATTGTTGACATATTTAGTTGTAATAATTTCAATTTTTATAAATTTATTGTTATAAATTTTATAAACGGATCTAAAAAAAAAAACAATTATTTTATTTTTTATGTATCTTGCTATAAAATTGTCGAATTTTATTTATTAAACGAACAAGTATATGACAAAATTTCTAATCTTTTAACTTATATTTAAATGTTACCAAATTATATATTAAGTTTAAAATTTACTTTAGATTAAAACATTAGAATTGTGATATTAGTTTATTGTAAATACACCATATGTATAAGAAATTTCAAATTATTTAAACAGTATTATAATATTTATTACATAATTTTATTGATAATTTTGTTTTCATTTTGATAAAACAGGTCAATAAAGTAAAATAAATTATTTTATATTTTATATTAAATTTAGTCACTAATGTAACCAAGATGTTTGAGTTAGTTTATATGACATTTAAAAATATTCCTACTTTTTGTTGACTTAAAAATATAAAAGATCACGTGAAATAATATTTTTGTTTGTTGAATTTTGTTTTATTTATAGAAAAAACACAAAGCACAATGATCCTACAAATAAATTATTATGAACTTGTTTGTCATAGTGGCTGGTTTAACAATACTTATCTTTATATTTTTTAATGTTATTAAAAAACAACATTAGGCAAGAACTTGTCTAAGCATATGTATAGTATTCGATAACTAATTAAGTTATATTAATTAAATTCGTTATTTTTTTATCATGCAATAATATAATATTGTAATTAGAAGAGAAATGTTAGCATCGATAATTCTTTTACGCCTGTAACTTTAAATAATTCGTATTTCCTGTAGAATTTAAATAAATAAAATAAAATTTTCTAAACACATTATAATATTTACAGATTAGGATAATAATTATAGCGAAGAGGTAACTTATTAACAGTTAAATATCAATAAAATTAGATCAGAAATAAAATAATTGTATAATAGTTAAAAATTCGAACATTTTTCATTTTTTTATCCATCGGCTAAATCTATATAATCTAATATAATATCGTTCACTTCCAATGAGGGTTTTTCTAATATTTCTATTGATTTTTGCAAATCTTCAACCAATTTTTCATTTAATGATGTATTGTTATGATGCAGGTTCAATATGACTTTTCCTAGGTCAACATAATCTCCTTCGCTGACGAGTAAGTGAACGCCTACGCCTGGATCGATTTTTTGTCCGGAGAATTGTCGTCCAGCGCCCAATACATTACAAACTTTAGCAATAGCCATACCATCAATAGACTTAACATAACCTGTTTATTAACGACTGTCTTAATAGAAAAAAATCAATGTAGCTAGGTATTAAATTAATAAAAGTATTATTAAATTTGTCGTGGATCCTATTGAAGTATTATATAAGATTCAATAAATTTGTTTTAAAAATGATTCTTAAATAGTTAAATAATTTTAATATATTACCCGCCGTTAATGATTTGATTTCTTTTATATTTTTGGCCATGGGTAAAATTGATGTTGGGTCACCATAACAGAGTTCTTCAGCTACGCTATCATAAATTCCTTGCACTACTAGCATTTTTTTAAATATTTGTAACCCTGTTCCATTGTTTAATGCATCAGCTATGATCTTACGTCCTTGTTTAAGAGAATCCGTTTTTTTTGTCATCTGTAGTAAATGACTCCCTGTAATTTTCAACTTAACAATAAGTATAAAATTTCAAAGACTTAACATAATACTAAGTAATCACCAATGTGTTCAATGATAGTTTGTAAATCAGATGGTCCTTTACCCTTTAAACAATCAATTGACTCGATAATCTCTAAGGAATTACCAACATATTTTCCGATAGGTGCCGACATTCTAGTTAAGAGTACTCTACAATTGATACCCATTAGTTTAGCAACGTTTATCTAAAACCATAGTAAGATGAAAGGTTATTTTTTCCAATTATATTTTATTTTTCACGAACAAACTGTTCTCCAAACTGTTTTGCGCGCTCGATAGAAGTGAAAAATGAAGCATTTCCGACTTTCAAATCCAATATTAAGTACTTAACTCCAGCTGCAGCTTTTTTAGAAATTATTGAAGCTATGAAACAAATCCTATTTTTAATTTTAAATCTCATTTCTTATTACAAAGTGTATGCTATTCCATACATATAATCAACTTATCGTTGTCAACTGTAGCAGTAACATCTCTAGCTTTATAAAGAACTGAATCTACAGGTGCTAAATCATCAGATCCTACTATAAAACATCCGAATTCGTTTCCCATTTCCAACAATTTTGCTGGTTCATAACTAAATGCAGAATATCCTATTAAATTAATAAAAGAACAATAAATAAAGAGGTATATCTCTAGAAAAAATACGAGGTTGTTTAATGCTGATAGCCGTTTTTAAGAACTACTATTCAAAACTTTACGAAAAAATGTCTAAAAACCATAAGATTAAGGCAAGAGAAGTGAACGCTTATGTAAATACATAGAGTAATTTTTTTTATTATAAGAGCTTTAACATAGATAGAATTTAAAAAAGTTTTACTAAAATTTAAATTTCCCTTAAAACATTTTTTATATTTAATAACATGATTTTCTAAATTTTTGGGTAGCTAATTTCATTTTTGTGAGCTATAACATCCAAATTTCACCCGTGACTTTTATGTTAACCCCATAAGCATTGAATTTGCATTTGAAATTATATAAATTTTATACCTGGAATACTTTCTAATTTATCCAAGGTGCCGCCTGTAAAATCTAAGGCTCTCCCCGATACCATAGGTATGACAAAATCTGCAACAGCTTTTAATGCTGGTACTAATGGAATAGATACTTTATCCCCCACTCCTCCGGTACTATGTTTATCCACAACGATTTTTGATGGTCCATAATCCAAAATAAAACCGGATTCGACCACGGCTTTTGTTATGACCCTGACTTCGGTATTGTTGATATCATTCAAGAAAAAAGCCATTAGCATTGCTCCTAAATTAATATATAACTTTAAAAATTTTTCATTGATTCGTACCATATAAATAATCAAGTACTCACCTATTTGACATTGATCTATCGCATTTTTCACTACACAATCAACAAAATATTTTATTTCTTCTTCTGTAAGTTCTTGTTTTAATGCCTTTTTTTTTATAATAGATACGATATTCATTTTAAAATAAATAACTCAACATAAAACAAATTATTTTAAGCAATATGCACTAATAACTATTGATGGGATAATGCAATAAGCTACACACTGAACAAAGCTAATTATTTATGGAAAATATTAAACTTGATAATGAAATACACAGATAAGTTGTACATCTATTTTTTAGTTGGCTTGCCTCTAAAATTTATTGAATGGTTTTTACTGCTCATAATTGAAATGAAATTACTTGAATGAAAAAAAAAAACTTTTGATAACTAGTAAGAGCAATGATCCACTATATTATAAACAAAGAACAAAGTTCGTGTTTAATAAACTGAGCACGCTTAATATAAATTTTGTGTATACACAGCAAAAATATTACACCTTTAAGTCATGATACTCATAAGACTCATATCAAAAATGTATTTTAATGCATAGTTTAAATATACTCTATAATAAGGTTTAACACAGTACTTACTATAAAAGCTATTAAATAATCGTTATATTTAAATTATAATATAAATGTAATAAGTGTAATCATTAATGCTGATTTCTCTTAAGAGTTATTTAAATTTAATAGCTAATAAGAGAAAATAACCTATGCATAGGTTATTTATTGAGTACATATATATTTACTTTATAAGAGATTATAGCATACAATGTTAGTTTAAGTTTTAGCTTCGATGCGAAGCTGAGAAGGTATTGGTTTTACTATGATGTGTTTTTTTTTTTTTTTTTTTTTTTGTTACCACTTTTTCTCAGCTCTCACCGAACGGATTTCTTTCAACGATACGTCAAAAGATCACAAATCGTATCTAGTCGAAGACATTACCCTTAAAAATTGAAAAAATTTCCCTCGTTCCCCGTAAATGGGGGAAACCTCTAAAAAAATTACAAATCAANCCCTCGTTCCCCGTAAATGGGGGAAACCTCCAAAAAAATTACAAATTTAAAAATCGCTAATTTTCGAAATTTTTTCAATTTTTTTTACTAAAAACTGCCGTAACTTTTTCAAAAATAAACATATGAATATATATTTTTTTTCATAGATGCTTGATGTCTTTTCCTATCATTCAGTATATTTTTTTTGTAAATTTGACCTTTTTTCTGCCCACAGGGGGGGATTTAAAATGACAACTTTTTCACAAAAAATTAACTTTTTCAACTTAACTTTTGAAAATGTTCCGGAAGGTCTGACACTTTTATATATATCTTAAATTAAAGCTAATGTAATGTACTTTAATTTGAAAAAAAAAAATTTGACCTCTGGACTTGTCTTCATGGTGAAAACGGCTACCGAATGCTATTTTTGTGTGAAAATTTTCGATTTTATTATTTATATTATATTTAACTTTATAATGCTATAACTTATTGAAAAGTTTATGGATCCACACAATTTTTTTATGAGGAATAATATTTTTTAATAAACCTTTTTTCATTCGACATACTTTATCTTAATCGAGATATTAATAAGGAACCAGCAGATCAAGTAGCTTTTGGAATAAAACACCAATTTTTTTAAAATTAAACACTATCTAAAGATTTGCATCGAAGCGTTTATTTTTGATAGTGATTTTAATCACTGTCAGATATCATTATACTTGATCCAATTATGCCACGTCACCACTGTGCCGCGACCCCCCTGTGCTGGGTTTTTTTTTTTGCTATTAGAATGAATATTATGTTTTATATAAATTCTTCTCTGTAACTTATTTAAATGTAAACAATAAATGCACTACCTTACAACATCAAAATTTTATAATAAATAACTTCTTGATTATTGATGGTAGTTATTTTGTTTTAATTCGATGATACTTTGAGGCAAACGTAAAGGAAACAAGAGCGACAATTTTTGTGCAAAAGTTGCTATTTTAAATCCCGCCTTGTAGGCAAGTAAGGAATCAGATTTTGAAAAATGTATAATAAACGAAAGAAAAACATCTAAGGTTTCAATATCAAAAATAATTATTTTAATTTGTTTACTTTTCAAAAAGTTTTTAGTATTAAAATATTTCATGTTAAACAGTGATTTTTACATAAAAATTAAATTTTTTGCGTTAAATTTTCCCACAGAAAAAAAGTTGTCGGGACTAATTTTTTTTTTGAACTTATAGTATTTATCATAAGCTTTAATTTGACATGTATTTAGAGCTCGGAGTATTTGCGAAACATTTTCAAAAGTTAAATTTTTGTGCTAAAGTTGCTATTTTAAATCCCGCCTAGTAGGCAAATAAGGAGTCAGATTTTGAAAAAATGTATGATAAACGTTCTACTTTTTACTCGTATTTTTAAACATTTAAACCCCACTTGTATCAAAGAAATAGGTCAGATTAAAAAAAAAATGTTGGATATAAAGTATATATATAATTTATTTAGAAACAAAAATTTAAAGTTGAAAAATAAAATATGAAATCATAAATTTTTACACCAAAATTGCATGTTTTTTAACTATGACAACCATTTGCACGTAAAAAACATGACAATTTTTTTTTTAACTTATAGTGCATAACATTAGCTTTATTTTAACAAATGTTTGGAGCTCGAAGTATTTAGGAACATTTTGAAAATTAAGTTGAAAAAGTAAAATTTTTGTGCTCAAGTTGGTCACATTTTCAAAAAATTTAAATCATACAAAAGGGAAATATCTAAGGTTTCAATATAAAAAAGATATGATTTGTGATCTTTTGACGTATCGTTGAAAAAAATCAGTCGTGAAAGCTAAGAAAAGTTCACAGATACAAAAAAAATTGAAAATAAACACATCATGATAAAATTAATACCTTCTCAACTAAAAAGTTACCTCAATTGTTTTATTATTTAAAGTCGACCCTCAAAAAAAAAAAAAAATAGCAACTTTTTTCAAAAAAATTACATATATTCAATTATGCAAATATTTAATTAGCATTTAATATTTGAGTGAAATCATACAACATGAAAATTGTTACTTAAATTTTTGTATAATTTCTTCGTAAAAATGACTATACTAAATTATTGATTATCAACATTGATGATGTTGATAATCATTGATGTTACATCATACTAAATTTAATTGTTATAAGTATCTATTCCTATATTATAATTTTAAATAATAAAACTTGTAATTAAGATAATTAAGGAGTTAGGAGTTAAAATGCTTTAGAAATATTCAATAATTCCTTCTAAAAATTAAACACTGTCTACAGTTATGTATCGAAGCGTTTTTTATGTTAGCGATGATAATCCAACTGTGATACTAACCGTATTACTTAGACTTATTCCGCATTCCCACTGTGCTAACATGTTTTATTCAGAAAAGTTTATGTTTTTAATTAATTAGTTCTTAACTAATTAAGTTAGTTTTTAGCTTTTATGTTTTATACTTTTAAAGATTTTACGCGAGGTATACTTAAACAATTACCTTTTATTAATAAGTTTTTATAACATATACTGGATAATTTTGTTTCAAAAAAACAAATACTTATCATAACAATAAATAATAAAAAGAACTCTGCTAACATTGGATTAAAATATATTTTCTCGGACCAGACCCTGATTTAATGAGTTAACCTACTAAATTTCCTAAAGACAATATAGCTGCTAACCTTATTTAATGTAACCAAAACATATTATTGCAAAACTCTTTTAAATATTGTAAATGACAAAATGTAATAATATATATTTATATATACTTTAATAAAGACTCTAAAACTTAGTGTTATTTACAACATTAAATCTTATAATTGATAATCATTTATTTAATATCTGGAGTTATAAGTTTAATTTATGAGTCAACAAAGATTATAAATTGCAATTAATATAAAAATTATTTTTTATGGTAGAGATTACCAATAAAGATAATAAGTATCTTTACAATCATAATTATTGCTTGTTGACTTATATTTATTTAACAAATTGTCTTCTATAAGATAAATTTAAAAGAGAATAATACTTTAAAAATTGTTTAAGTTTTATGACAATGCAATATGCTATTCTTTATTCTATATTACACAAGACCATTTAGGTGTTTAGTTGATTGTTCAGTCACATATTTATCCCATACATTTTTGTAAAGTATTTCTAATTGATCAGAATAATTTTTGCAATCAAAAAGTTTGCTTTCTGTTCTTAATGTCCAAATATTTGCCCGTACAGATTCTAGATATTTCTTATTAATGCCTAATTTAGTTGCAATAGAGATGTATTCAATATCATTATTTGCAATAAGATCATTTTGTCCCAGTGTTGTTAGTTGTGAGGCTGCTACTCTAGATGAAAATGTTTTTCCTTTCTTGGTTACAACAGGTATACCTGCCCATAAAGCATCTAGGCAAGTTGTATGTCCATTGCATAATGGTGTATCTAAAAATATATCACCTAATTGGGCACGTCTCAAGTGTTCTTCTCTTGGCACTAAATCACTAAATATTATACGAGAAGAATCAAACTCTAATTCTTTAGCCGATTTTTTTATATTCTCTTCTGCAGCTGCTGGAAAACGTAACAACCATAAAACAGAACCAGGTACATTATTCAAAATAGTAATCCATAAATGTAAAGTATTAGGATCTATTTTATATAACTGACTAAAATTACAAAAAACAGTAGCATCTTCAGGTAAATTATACTGTTGTCTTGTATAGTACTTCACAGTTTGATCAGAAAGTATTTGAACACTGTACATGGACTGAGTAGTACTGTTAACTGGTAAATTTAAATGTATTTCCTTAGGACTATTTTCATTAAAATTATTTAGAGATGAAGTACTTAATTGTACATCAGCTCTAACGTCAGTTATAATACGAGAATTTAAATTGTTGAATATTTGTTTATGATCACCAGTATACACTGAACGATTTAAATATACCACTTTTTCAGTGTAAAAATGGAGTAATTCTTGAGGGGAACATATTACATCTGAGATAAAATAATCCATAAATGGTGCACCACTTGTACTTGGATAACCTAGCCACATAACTTGAATAGGAGCAGGTCGTAAAGCAAAAATTTCATTACGAGCACCTCTAGTATAACCATTCATATTTACTAGAATGTGTATACCATCATTATAAATTTGATTTGCAGCTGCAATTGAAGTCATATAAGATATATCCACAAAATAATCAGCACCCTTAGAAATTTTATACCTAAAAATGTAAAAATATTTAAAATTAAATTATTTTTCATATGTTTCTCAAAAAATGTTAATAATAATTAAATACATGAAAACTTTATGGATAAACCAAATGAATTACCATGAAAATGAATTGTCACTTGAGGATAAAGAGTAGCAATAAACTTCAACTTTATTTCTGTCGTGAATACTTGGTATGGTCTGCATTAGTTGAGATGTTGGATGATCACCAAAATCTGATGATACATATCCCACACGAATACGATCATCAGAAGTTAAACTTTTTGGATGCTCATACACTTTATTGTTTGATAACTTACATACTTTCTTAATGCAAAGGTCTGCATGTTTTAAAGCAATCTGTTTATGAACATCAGGTGAAAAGTCATACAATATGGAATGATGTGGCAATAAAGAGGGAACTTTGTTCTGAGAAAGTTGTTTTAAAATAATATCCTTCAGTTTTGCATTACGAACTTCATAATTTGACCAATCACAAATATATTGGAGGCATTGTACAAGGTTACAATAAGCATCAGGAAAATCTGGTTTTATTTTAAGAGCCATTTCATATGAGCAAATTGCTTCATGATAATTTTCTTTATCCTTATTGATAGATCCTATATTAGTGTAGGCAATAAAACAATTGGGTTCTAATTGAATAGCTTTATTAAAACATTCAATTGCTTTTTCACCTTCTTTCATTTCAATTAGTATATTACCCATATTAAGATATGCTTCTAGTGATGTATTATCAATTTCAACTGCTCTTTTGTAATGAAAATAAGATTGATTAAGATCATTCATTTCTTTATACAATATATTTGCCAATTCAAAATGTAGATCAAAAGAATCTACATCATTATGATCAAGAATTTGTGTATAAAGATCAACAACATCATCTAAGTGACCTAGTTTATGTTTCAACAAAGCCAAGTTATGAAGTGCATTTAGATGATATGGCTCAAGTTGTACAGCCATTTTGTAATATTCAATAGCTTTTTGAGTTAATCCATTTGTCTCATAAAGTAACGCTAAATCACAGTAAGCATCAGGAAAGTTTGGTCTCAACTCTATGGCTTTTCTATACCTGTAAAAGAATTGAAATTTAATTATACAAAAAAAAAAAAATACAATTATGCCAGAGGAATTTTAAAATTACCTAGGAAAAGCATTGCAAAGATGTCCCATCATATATAATGTTAAACCTAGCTTCCAATGACCATCAGCATTATCAGGATTAAAACATAAACTAGTAGTGTAGGCATTTCTAGCAGATTCATATTTCTTAGAATCAAAATGCATGTCCCCTAAGGATATTGCTATATTTGAAGCATTTTTAAAGTCTTTTTGGACTTCATAAATTGCAATAAGATATTTATAGGCAATATCATACATAGGATCTAGTTCTATGCAGTGTTTAATAGAGATTTCTGCTTCTTTGTAGTTATTAATTTTTGTAAAATAAATTAAGCCTAATTCCAGATGTAAATCAGCATTTTGAATGTCTATTTCTAAACATTTGGTAAGATTATCAATAGCAAAAAGAGGTTTATCATCAAATAAGTAGGCATGTGCTAAATATTTTAAAGCAATAGTATTATCAGGTGATAGATTTATAGTTTTTTGTAAAATATCAATAGTCTTTGTGTAATCATTGGATTCTAAATAACAGAGTCCCAAATTAAGCCAAGCAGATACTGACTTTTCATTACATTTCAATGCTACTTCAAAGTGACTTATAGCTTGATCAATTTTACCATTATTGAAATATAATGCTCCTAGATTATTCCAAGTATCAGAAAAATTTGGTTCAGTCTTTTTAGCCAATATATAATGATATTCAGCTTCTTCTAATTTATTTAATGAAACAAGTAATTTTCCAAAGTTATTTCTCACTTTGTATAATTCTGGTTTGTAAGCTAGAATCATAGAATATGCTAAAGATGCTTGAACTTTATCACCAGCCAAAACTAATCCTTCAACATAGTTAATCCAGCCATCTATATAACTTTTTTTAAGGCAAATTGCTCTATAATAACATTCTAAGGCATTTCCTAATTGACATTTCTTCCAATATATTGATCCAATGTTACAAAAAATTTCGGGTGCATTAAAATTTTGTGTCAATGCTTCCTTCAAGTATTTAAAAGACAGATCATATTGTTTGCACTTAAAATGAACTGCAGCTAATAAAATAAAAGTATCTAAATCAATTGGTTGATGTGATAAAATTTCTTCACATAATTCTTTAGTTTTGGTAAAGTTGTCTTGAAAGTACTCCAATTTTGCAGTTTTCAAACGCTCAGCTATTAAAATGATAAATAGTACACAATTAAATCTAAGATTAAATACAGAGTGATTGGCTAACTATGTCTCACATAATATCTTTAAAAATACAATTGTTATAAACAATTTTTTTTAAAGTCATTATGGATCTTTAATAAGGTGTTACAGAAAAAAATTTAAATTTCTACCACCATCCTTTATGTTTAAAACTTATATCAACTTCATATTTTCAAATGGCAACCCTATCTTTTTTTTATATCATTAAATTTAGTTTAATAAAAAAAAAAATATTTTGAAAAATTTTTTTTTTATTTTATTTAATATTAAGTGCTCTATGGCTCTCTAAAGTTTGAGGTTTATTAAGAAAAAATCATAACAGACTCGAATGTTATAAATCGTAAATTGATAAGCACTACCAGTTTTAAGTAAAGACTACCTGCGATATCAAAGTAAATGGGTAGTTCTATCGCTACATAAAATAATAATGTAACAATGTTGGAAAAAATACTACATTTTTTCTTCAAATATCGTAAATATTAAAGTATTGTATCTTGTTTAAAATTCATATTTTTTATGTTTTGCTAAACATTTTTTTTTTTTATAATAAACAAAAATATATAAAAATAATATGGGGTTGCCGTTTAAAAATCTGAAGTTGATATAAGTTCTAAGTATAAGGGATTATGATAGAAATTTAATTTTTCTTGTGAACAGCTCATCAAAGATCCATAATGATTAAAAAAAAAATTTGTTTCTTACACTTGTATTTTGAAAGATATTACGTGAGACATAGCTAGCCAATCACTTGTATAATATACAAATCTTAAATATTTTAATAAATAAATAAATAATTTTATGTAAGAATAAAAGAAATTCAGCTTTTTATTTAAAAATCTAGCATTTTAATTAAAAAAAAGAAATTGTATTCAAATGAACTAGAGGGTGATACATTTATCATAAATAACTTAATTAATCGGAAAATAAAAATAATTAATATAATATAATTAAATAATGTCTAATATAATATATATAATTTTTCATCTGGATACATGTTTTTTTCAAATTCTTAGATATTAAGTACTTTTTCAGTTCATCCCTTATAGTTTATAAGTAAAACTGGATTTATGAGCAATTATAAATTTTGTTTGAGGTTTTTTATAGGACCCAAATTTTGCTAATTGGAATATACGGTAGTGTAGAAATATTTTTCATTTTAGGGGAGAATAAACCTCCTTAAAGACACTCAACACTTTAACCTCAGTTAAATAGCATTAATAGTTTACAATATTATTAATTTAAATTTGTACTTGCTGATGATGTGTTTGGAATTATTTAACAAAATTTATAAATATATATAAATTTGGCTTTTACTTATTACTCATCAACTTTATTTTTTATATGGCAATATACATTAACCACTAACCCATTTATTAGATAATGATCTAATTAAGAAAATGACTGATCAATAACCATTTTTGGATCAGCATCTCAGAAGTTATTACTATTGTACAGTAATGGCTAAAGGTAAAGTAAAGGTTTTACTATTTTTATCCCATGTGATTCCCAGGTGTAATTTTCCTATTGTCAGTAACAACTTTTGGATCAGTATTTTGGAAGTTATTAACAATTAAAAGTAATGACTGGGGGTGAAGAGTGAGTGCTGTTGTTTTATAACTCGACATTTTTAGGTCATACCCTTTCTCTTATTTAGATATAAATAGATCAATAGCTCTTAAAATACTAGTTCAAAATTTATTATCAACCATCATTTTCTTAATTAGATCATTTATGTAATAAATAAGCCAGTTTATTATGCATGTTATCATTTCAATAGATAAAGATAATGCCCTTATACCTTATAAGGTTGGGTTTCTTTTGCAAGTATACTGCTTGCAAGAGTGGAATATTATATTAATTTCATTATACAAAAACCTTTTTTTTCTTTGTCACAAATGATGTAATAAAATAATATTTTTATTATGATAATCTATTTAAAAATTAAACCAGAATTATCTGATTCAATGTTTAAATTATAAATAACAATCAATATATTTAATTGCTTCTTATTAATAATAATTCATACCTAATTATTTGACAAACTAATATAAAAAAATAATTTAATGTACTAATATCTTAACATTAATTAAATTACTAAAATTTTTAGTATAATTATATATATATATATATATATATTGATTACTTACTACACTGTTCATCATACTTCTGTAAAATCAAAGGAGATAAATAAATATTTATTCACACATTTTTTTAAATTATTTAATACTAACTTGAATTGCTTTATACAGTTTAGCTAATGGATCACCATCTAATGACAAGGAACTAGCTTTACTTAATGTTGTTCCAGCTAAATCTTTTATTTGAGAAAAACCTAGCTGTTTGAATTCTCCTATTATTTTTTCATACCTACAATGAAAATACGTATAAAATACAATAGTTTGTAAAGTTAAACTATGAGTTCCTTAAGCAAATATATTTAAAAATACTTACTGTACATTAAATAACTTAGATAATATTTCAGCAATAATTGTAATAGGTGCCTCACATTTTATATGTTTTTCACAAAATATATCCTATAATGGTTTAAATAATATTAAGTAAATAGCACATTGTCGTAAATTAATAAATTGTTACCATTTTGGTATTAACGCTAAATTAAAAAATTTTCATGTATATTCATAAAAGAATACTTAAAATACATAAAAGAAATAATTCACATTTTTCAGAGTGAAAGAGTCTATTGACACCTATGCGATAAATAGTTTACTAGAATTGGACTTTAAAGTACAAATTTATTTTAAAACAATTATTCTATTATTTAGTTAATCTAAAAATATTAATATAGTATATAAATCGTCTAATATAGTATTTAAAATTTTAAAAGTTAGTGAACTAAGTTAAAAATGTTAACAGAATAAACAAAAATTCATACCGCTAAATCTAGAGATAACGGCATGCATAGATAATATGCATATTATATATGTACGGTTTTGATAATATACTATGTTATTAATTAATATTATTATTATTATGTGTGTAACAAAGTTATAAAATATTATATATATTTAAATAATTGCTTTATATTTCTCGAATAAACAAATTAATTTCTCATTTAAGAAAAAATATTAAATTTTTTGTAATTAAAATCAACTATTGTGAAAATATAAATGTGGTAGCATTGATTCCTTTAATTTCTATAATATTGCACACTGGTTCTCAATCTTTTAAATTTTATGAAGTATGCAACTTAGATTATGCCAAGGCTTAAAATTTAAGACAGACTGAAAAATAATTATTATAATTTGAACACATGGTACCAGTAGTTGGCCTCATTATGGGCAATTAATGAGTTTTTTTATCTATCTGAGAATAAAATATTTTTTGGAGCGTTTGTTAGATTTTGCTAAAAAAAAACTTAAAACTAGGAATACCATTTACTGAAATTGATATTCCAACATTCATATTCATACATGCTCACTGATTTATGAGGTCCCATGTAAAATATTAATATTTGACCTTTTTATTTTTGGTGTTGATATTAATTTTACCATGATTTGTGTTTCATTATAAATTTTAAGCACATTCTGGATCAATATTGTCAAGAAATTCATCAGAAGTATAGATTTTTACAGTAAAACTCGTGTCATTGTTTTATAAAACAAAACCTCATTTATAAATTTGTAATTCTAGCAACATGATATTTAATTTTAAAGACTAGATTTTATCATTAGTTTATATTTTTATTTAATTTTGACCAATGGATTTTAATAAGATTGATTGTTCTACGATATTTAATTTTCTTATATTCATTAACTATTCGAAAATTTTACTTTATTAGCAACAGTTTATAAAGAATTTTGTTGTAATGAATATTCAGAATCGGGCTAATAATTGCAAATCCCATATGAAATTTTTTTCCAATAAGTTTATTGTTGTTCAATTTTTAAAATATTATCCACAAAGTTCAAACAATGGAACATTTTACCTGATACTTGTTCTATTGGTGACAAAAATACAGCAACACTCTATGTGTATCTTGAGTTACGTTATGTGATTAAAAATACACACGTTTTGGTATAGATTTTAATATTTTAATTATTAGAGGCCAAGCAAAATTTTAACAAGTTTTTCTATCATTTTTCTTTTTTATGTTTCAAAATTTTTTCAGTTTAATACGATTTATTTAATTTTTTAATGGGAAGTTATAGTAAAAAATACTTGCAAAAACCATCATTTTTGAATTTTTATGCACAATCACTTAATTTTAGAAATATTGTGGTCCTGGAGAGAGTATGGCTGTTAAGGTCTAACTTAGCTATGCTATCAAGAGAGTTCAATTCATTTTACTGAACTGTAATAACTCTCTCTTTTTTAAATCACCAGCAGAAATTTATAAGGTATAATATTAAAATTTAATGTTAAATATTAATTTAAATCTTAATAATCATGTTTTATAACATAACTAATATACATCATTATTATCATCTCCTTAGCTGCTATCTCAACTATATAGAGGTCAGCTCAACCTTAGTGATGTAAAATTATATTTATACAGGCTGTAGACCAGACACAATCTCATTATAGATGAAGGAGCCAGTATAGGGCTAAATGTGTATTACTATTAAAGTTCCTGGATAGGTGACCATATAGGAACGAATAGCTAAAATTGAAGCTGAACATTAGTTTTAAAGTGCTTGAATGATCTATTGCTCATATATACTTAAAACAAGGATATAAATAACACAAATAAAATTTTAATTGATTTTTTTGAGATAATTTTTTTTTAATAATTAAAAGATAATTCTTTTTAATTAACTATATCTTTTAGGGTTAGGAGATATTTTAGTTTGAAATAGAAACAAATATGATAAGACAATATAAAATAAAAACACAACTTATTAAAAAAAAACCTGTTATGACTAAATTTAATAAAATTTAACAGAATTCTTAATTGAAAAAAACTGATTATTATTATATAATACAGGTTCTAAACAAAAACAATGAAATAATACTTAACATTTACTTTAAGGATTGGGATATTTCTTCAGGAGGTGATTCACTTCTCTCGGGGAAAGGTTATGTTGTCCAGTAGAAATTTTTCCTTCTCTCAAATCTTGTTTTCTTTTATATTTTTCGACTTGATGTATTTTTGAACAGGTTTGAAATTTATTTATTTCCTCTGAACAAAGACTTTGGTCAAATTCGTTTTTCTTAAAACATGCAAACATAATCGACATTTCGTGAACGCAAGCTCGTTCTTTTGATCGATCACCTTTTCCAGAAACGCTATTCTTCAACTTAAGAGGTAAGAGCTCTTCAAATATTACATTATTTGGATTTTTGGTATATTTTCTCATATCGCGAAACAAAAGAATATTGTTCAAACGCATTATAAATTAATCTAAAATAATAATAAATAGGTGAAATAATAAGTTATTGCAATTTTTTACAATTTTATCTGAAAAATTACTGAAATAAAAAAATTACGCTACTTTAAATATGTAATGATTCTTATCACTTCAAAATCAAATAAAATAAAAGAGTTTTGAGATATTACAATTTGCACCAATGTTCATAAAATCGTAACTGAAACGGTAGTACCGTAAAACCAGTACTAAAAATTAAAAGAAATATAATTCCAAGTTTTTTTTTGGATTATTTTGATCCAGACAAACTTGGAATTATTCTACGCCATAAACATTTTTTATCATGTTGTATATTCATTTTATACATAACATTCTAAATTCATTATAGGTTACAAAATCTCCAGTTAGCTCATATAGATTCATTGTCTAATTAGAGGAGTTCATTGAGAATTACTCGATTACATGGAACCAATGATTTCAAGCAAAGTTTTTTTATTAAATTTCAGTTTTTGAAAATTTACTTTTAATGTCATTAAAGTCACACAATTTCAAAAAAAAATTTTTATTAGTTAAAATGAATCGACAGTGTTATGGTTGACTAATTTCATTGATACACTCTAAAAATTACGGATTTATCAATAAATATTATATTTATGTAGGGCTTTTGATTTTCCCTAAAAGAGCTGACCTGTGTCAAAATGAAAATTGGTTACAGCTTTACCAAATAATTACGTGAGATGTGTCTGACTAACTTTGAGTAAATAAGCTACCTCGTTAATATTAATAAATGTACTTAATCTTTTACTCAGAAAATCACCTTATATATCCTTATATTATGAATTAATTCATGCAGCAACATTTTACTATAAGAGGATTTTACTGAAACAGATTTCTAAAAAATATTTTATGTGATTTATTATTATTTTTGATACAATCCTCTTAATTAATCCATGCTATGTATTAAAATTTTAAGAACATAGTTTTTTGTTTTTATACGTACGTCGGTGTTTAGGTATGTTAACTATTCTTGCTAAAAATCCTCTCAGAAGACTAAAAGGAAGCTGGCTAAGACATTTAAAAACTTATTTTAATATTATTCAATATATTAATCTAAAGTAATAAGCTATCGGGAGGCACCACTGGGTAATTTTCTCAATACCTTCATCCATGTCATTGTAAATAAATTTGTTATAATTGCTTATTTTACACCAGATTTATAAATTGTAATTTTTTTTATAAATAAAAAATATGTTAGGTAATTTTATTACAATGTTATGATTCAGTTATGTTCTAATACGTACAAAATATATTATAATTTCTTAAATTTCAAGAGCCCATAATTCAATAATGCATAATTATTAATGGACATATTTCTAATTACTATTATAATTATTGAACTTAATTTCTTTACATAAAAGTTCATAGAAATGATACTTAGTGACGGCAATTAATTAATTGTATTTAACTAGTAAATTTTTCTCCCTCCTAATTTTTTTTTAACATCAAAAAAATATTGTTTTACAGGTATAACAAAATTATAATTAATAGGAATAAGAGATATGCTTATTTTTTTATGTTAGTTTGGAAAGTATGAATAATAATTTTATTAATCACCGATCGACTTAGATTATATTTGTTGAATTTAAGGTTTTTAAATAATTAAAAAATAATAACTCCAATAAGTATCAATGTAATAACTCTAAAAATTCTTTGTTGTTAATTATATATCCATTATACTTATGCTATTTTTATTTTTTGGAAATATTATTGTAACATTGTTTAATCTAGTTTACAATTACCATAACAAATTTCAAATATAAATATGATGGGTTTATTTATTACATATATTTATGTCAATATTCGGACCGAGTCCATTTACATCGAGTAAAAAGTATTAGTGAAATTAGTAATTCTTATAACTTAAATATTATTTAAATACTATAAATTACAAACTAATACAGAATTTCTGACAATTTATTTCTGTACTTTATCGACGTATCAAGCACTTGGATTAGTGTCGTATGTCTGTTATAATTAATATTTTATTTAAGGATAATTAATTGTTTTTAATTATTATAAATGTTAACTAAATGAAATATTTGAACTATTCTATATAATATAACTAGTAAATAAAACATTATGACATTTTTAAATTATAAAACACTTAAATGAATAAAATTAAAGCTTTTTATTTATTTTTAATGGGATTTTAATTTTCCTTTACTTGGCTACATTGTGAGAAGGTGAAAATTATAATTCCCTTTTTACATGTGAAATGTTTGATAGCGGTACTGGGTACAGCGGCAGCACTTTAGTCAAAATCGTTTCGATTTTGCTTCGAAGAACTCGTTGTTTTGTTTATGTTCATCTTTAATTACTCTTAGTAAATCATTTAATTCTTACGGGAAGCCAACAAACGTAATTTCAGTAAGTTTTAAATAAAAATAATTTTTTTAATAAGACTAACTTCAAAACTTAAATAAACCTCATGGCATGGCATGTTCGTCGGGGTTATGTGTGTTTGCGTTAGACACTAGGTATAGTGTGGTTGACACGTCGACTTATAAATAGGCTTTTCATGAAAATTTAATAGTGTTGGCCTTTTAACCCTTGAACCTCATTCTATATTATATACGTGTCAACATTCGAAGTTAAATTTCCTTTTTTAATATTCTGTGGTAGCTACAAAAATATAATTTTTACTATTTATATATACGAAAGTTCAGTATGTTTTATTATTTGTAGTATTTTAGTTATCTGAAATAGTAATCAAAATTTTACCTAAGTAAAATAATTAAAAGAAATATTAAACTTGGATTTAAAAACTGTAATTGTTATAATATAGAATATTAGTTTATATATTTGCTCTATGTTTATCTTAATATCAATGTATTCCTTTAAGCTTTAATACTACTTATGGATTATTAATTGAACTTACAGAAATTGTTACAGTTAAATGTTTGTATATATGTATATAACTTCGTTTAGTTGTAAACTATACTGATATATAAATTATAGTTAATGTTTTAAGTATATTAACCTAATAATTCTACTCTAATAGCTTATAATACCATATACATTCTAGTAACACAATTATAACAAGTTAAACTCATAGTTTGAAAATAAGATAAAAAAATACATTATGGGATATTTTGGTATTAGTTAACAAAACCTCTAGAGTTGTATAAATTCTTTAAAATAATAAATTATGAAATTTTTCATTACGAATAACGAAGTATATTTGAATTTTTTAAATCATAAAGAGTGTAAACAGTATAATTTTATTCAATGTTGAAAATTTAAATATTATATTTGATATATTGGTAATATTATATGTAAGTTTCTTTATAAATAATTTGCTTAAAGTCTTTTAAGTTACAATTTTTAATTGTAACTTAAAAATTAGACTAATCTTATAATTATAAATTTTATACAAGCTGAAAGGACAAGTTAACTTAAGTAACTTTTAGGTATTTATTATTTCATAAATAAATCAATATTATACCTGTTAAACAATTCTATATAAATGTTGAGTCAGTTATGTTTTATCTCATGGTAATTTCTTGTAAAGATAATTATGTTGATAGTCAAATTGAAACTTTGATATTCTGTTACTTATATATGTAAAATTTTATTTATGTCTTTCATGTTTTAAATGTACGTTTTTTCCTTGAATTATAGTTTAAATGTCAAATTAATGTAGATACTGAATTCTACTTTTTTAATATGTTAAATCCTTTCAATTTTTGAAGTGTCATTTACAATTAAAAAAAATTATCAAACTTGGATTTAAAAATTGTAATTGTTATAATATAGAATATTACTTCATTTATTTGCTCTATGTTTACCTTAATGTTAATGTTTTCCTTTAAGCTTTATTATTACTCATGGAATATTAATTGAATTTACCGAAGTTTTACAAATATTTATATTTTTAACTTATTTTAGTTTTAAACTAAACTGTTATATAAACTATAACTAATGTTTTTCTTAAAAATTCATTTCAAAATTTTTTTTTTAACTTTAAAATAATCTATAAACATTTTACTTGCAAGAATATTCTATATTATATATAATATTCTATAAAAGATTTTATAACCTTAATTTAACTATATTTATTAATGTTCAATATATTATTTTAGTGTTTCAATAAAGAGAGACCATTGGTGCTCGTTTAATTGGACAAAACGTTTGGTAAGGAAGCTATAGCAATCATGTTGGAGTTACAACAAGACATCCCTAAATTGAAGAGTGAACGTGCAGTATCAAACAGCACTGTTCAAGAAGATGCAGGTAACAATGGTAATAGTTACGATCTTGTATTTCCGGCATTACCAGATTCAAAGATTATGGGTTCCAAAAACATTGGAGTCAATGGCCATGTTGCACCATCAAATCCTCCTCAAAAGGGATGGAGTTCAAAAGTTCGAATTTCTACCGTGAATCAGGTAATTGTTAAAGTTTTATTAGTAGTAAATATCAACTGCTTTAACTGTTATTAACAAGGCTTATGAGTTCATATATTTTTTCAACTTTCCATTAAACCATTTTCAATAAATTTCAGTTTATAATGTATAACTAGGTAAAATAACACCAAAATTTGTTACAGGGAACATAACTCTTATCCTCTCCTTTTGTTTTCATTGATATGTTATAAGTTAAATATATTACGCAGTAAAAATTTAAGCTGAAATTATTTTCTTTTGAATATAATTGATTTTAGAATTTCTCTAATAAAACATATAAATGTATAAATTTACTACCCATGTTTCTTAATGTTTGGTAAAATTAAAATTATTACATTATACCTTATTTTTATTATTAAAGGTGTTCACTATTTCTGTACAAGACCGTAAATCTGATAATAGTGAAAAGTTTGGCGAAGGAGAATCAAAACGTATATGTAGCCAAATCACAAGAGAAACTGGGGCTGAAATTGAAATTTCGACATCTAAAAACATGAACTTGACTTTTTTGGTGAGAGGTAAAGAAGCTGATGTTGTGGAAGCTAAGCGTAGAATTATTGCTAGTTTTCAAACTCAAGTAAGATTATGTTAGAAACATGATTAATTGATATTCAATAAATAATTTTTTTGCAAAATAATCTTAAATAATATACATAACACTCATCATATTGTAGTTTAAACGTTGATTGAAAACATTATTTTTACAAAATGACATTTTATTCAATAAATCTAACAAATTTGATAGTTAAAAAATTATTTTTTATATATCAATAGTTAAATGATTTAAAACATCCAAGTAAAAAAAAAAATTTTTTTTTGCTTGATTAGTTTTATATTAAATTCTTATTTTTTTTCATTTTTTCAATTTTTTTCCTCATTAAAAAATAAAAAGAAACAATTATAATGTATTATACATGCTTATAAATATATTATAGGTGCGTACAATGGACTTGTAGGTCTCAGTGCATGGGCAGTTCTTGCCCACCTCTATAATAAATAAAACTATAAACTATAAATAAATTAGTATTTACTATTAATTTATTAATTATTGTTAAAATTTTAATATAAAAATTTTAGGCTACTAGTGCTGTACCTGTGCCTAAAGAACATCATTGTCAAGTTATGGGAAAACAAGGAGCTCGACGAAAAGAAATTGAACAACGAACTGGTGCGCGTATTCAAATGCCTAGTATTCAAGATACATCGGATATCATTAATGTTACTGGAACTCGAGATGCTGTTGAAAAAGCTGTTCAAGAAATACGTATGATTTCAGATGAGCTGGTAGGTTACTACATAAGTTATATAATTTTATTTAAACAATTTCTATTATTTTTCAATTTTTTTCTCTAGTCTAAAAAAGCATTTGAAAAAATTGAAATTCCCAAAATTTACCATCCATTTATCACGGGAGGTCATAATGAAAGTCTAAACAATTTGATGAAAGAAGCTGGTGTAAAAATCCATGTTCCTCCACCTTCTGTTGCTAGAGATGAAATCACAGTAGCTGGAGATAAAGAAGGTGTACAAATGGCTATTGAAAGAATTAAAAAAATTTATGAGAAAATGGTAATTATAAACTTTGTTATATTATTTTATGTAACAGTCTATTTTTGATTATATTATTTTCTTAATGTATAACTAATAATATTTAACTGTGTTTAATTATTACTAGGTTTTTTTTTTCACAATCTTAAAGTATTTATATGTTTTTAACAAAAAAAATATGAAATATTGACAATACGTTTTAACAAGTAACTCACATACGATGGGAAGGGAAGGGGGGTAAAAGAGAAAAAAACAACAGGAAAACTACTTTTATTAATATAACTATTTTGAAAATATAAAAAAAAGTCTATCAAAGTTACTAATAAAAATTAACTTTTTTTACAATATATTTTACTTTCTCACTCATTCTAATTAAAATTTTTTTGAAATAAGTCATGCATTTAAAAATAAAATATGAATTTCTCAAACAAAACAAAAAATGATTTTAAGTTGATTACCTGGATCTGTGTTTTGTATCTGATTCATTATTTACTTGTACACAATATTCCAGTTAAAAAAATAAGCCAACAAAGACTTCTACATTATTATTATAAATAATAGTGTATTATTTATTTAATTATTTTGTGTATCTTTTGGTACAGGAATCCATAGTTTCTTATGGTCAAAATTAAAACGTGTTAATATTAATAAGTAAAAGTTAAATGCTGATAAAAATGTTTTTTTACTTTTTTAGGATAATTTATTAATTTTTCTTTACTTCCAAAAAATGTTTAAACTAAATACGTTTAAATCAACTTGACCGAATATTACAATACTTTATCAAATAACTACGAAGGGCATCAAATAGCCAAAGATAAATTACTCACAAAATTTTGGCTAAATAGACTAAATACTGAATAATTTTCAAATATTTTGCCTATTTAGTCTACTTTGCAGTATAGCTTGAAAATTTCCAATAGTTTTCTTAATTGAATGTCTGAACCTCTAAAACTTAACTCCCAATTTTTATGAGTTATTTTTGAAGAAATATGTTCAATATTTTGAAATATTTTCTAGTTATGAATAATATTAAAATAATGTTATTTTTATTATAGGAAAAAGAGTCTGCCACTGTTTTTGTTGAAATACCCAAACAAAAACACAAGTATTTAATGGCACAAAAAGGAAATGCAATTCAAGATATTTTATTGGAAACAAATGTGAGTGTAGAAATGCCTCAACAAGATTCTGATAAGGAAACTGTTACTTTAAGAGGACTTTACAAAGATTTAGGAACTGGTAAATTAATTTAAACATTTTGTTTTTTAATTATAGCTTCAAATAAATCACTGGTATAATTATGAGGTGGTATTGGGTGTCATATATCCCTATAAAAATAATAATATTACCAAAGATACAATATTTTTTGTGTAGAGGAGGAAAGAAAATATTTTCTCACATATATTCTCCTTAAGATGAAACCTTAATAATGCCACTAAAATTATTCATAAATTTATATCTAAAGAGAATTATTAAGGCTGAATGATTATTTTAGGATTAACCAAACTATATGAAAAAGCTAATAGCATGACTTCTGAAACTATAGAGTGTCCTGGATGGATGCATAGATTTTTAATTGGTAAAAATGGATCAAATTTAAGAGAATTGATTGAAGACAATGAAAAAGTAATGTTATTACACATTTCTGTTATTAAAAGTTAAAATATTATTAAAATGCTTCTCTTATTATGACAGTCACATCTTTCTTAAATAACAAAAAGGTTAAATTTGTATTACAGGTACATGTTGAATTTTCTGATGACAACAAAATTATTGTTGAAGGACCAACAAATATGATTCCTAAAGTAATAGATTCATTAAAAAAAGCAATTGCTTGTTATACCTCTTCTGAACTTGTAGTTGACCCCAAGTTTTTCAAACATATTATTGGCAAAAATGGAAGCAACAGTAAAAATATTTAATATTTAAAATAAAAGAAATTATAAAAAAATGTTATATTTTGCAGTTAACAGAGTGAAAAATGATACTGGTGTACTTATTAATATATCAGAATGTGATAATAGTACTAATATCATAAGAATTGAAGGACGTAAAGATGGAGTAGAAGCTGCTAAACATGTGAGAATTACTTTGAAACTTTTTTCCTTATAGTATAATAAAATATGAATCAATAAATTAAACTTAGAGTTACAAAACAAGATTAGGTAATTAAATATTTTCTAATAATTATGAAGAATTTATAAACACTTTAAATTATATTCTCTAGCTTAAGTTACTGGTTAAATGTGTATTTATTAGATAAGATATAAGCAATATAATCAATATAATCTAGTTATAGATCCTATATAATTTATAATATTTAAATGTTCTCAAACTTCATATTTAACATATTCATAAAGCCTCTTAACCAAATATTAAATTATTGTATTAAAGTAAATATAATAGTTTATAGTTACGAACAATTTTATAATAATTTTAATTGTTTTTATGAATTAGGAATTGCAAGAAATGATTTTTAAGTTGGAAAATGAAGTCGAGAAAGAAATATCTATTGATCAACGACATCATCGTGCCATAATTGGTGTTAAAGGTGAAAAAGTTCGAGAACTTCAAGATCAATTTAATGTTCAAATAACATTCCCTAGTTCAGGTAATTATTTACTTCTAAGTAGAGACTATAAAATGTAATGAAATTTATCAATTTTTTAATAAATTTTGTCTCGTGTAATTAGTTGAAACAAAAAGTAATTTAGTTAAAATTCGAGGACTGAAGGATGATGTAAACAAAGCTTTTAAATCACTAACTAAGTTGTCCAAAGAACTAGATGACTCAAATTATATCATGGAGATTCCTGTGTTCAAACAATTTCATAAATTAGTTGTTGGTAAAGGAGGAGCTAATATAAAAAAAGTAATTTTACTTAATATTTAAATGCTAATAAAAGAGTTTGCTATTAAAAGAGGTAATATTATTTTTGGAATTGACTTATGTTCTATAAATTCTCTTTATATTACATATAGTCATCTAAAGCCATTGTCTGAGTTGAAGTGTTTAGCAGTAAGTCACTTTGCATGGTCACCACACCTTTTTACCTTTAATCAGTTACCTGATATACCTCTCAAGGGCTGACCAGCCTGTTAATGTGTAATGTATGTAAATAGAATCACTGGAGATGGGAGAGATGTTTCAAAAATAATAAATAATATTTGAATAATAATTTGATAAAAAAAATAGTATAAATTTAGCCCTTTTGGTTTATCCACTAAATAAATCATTAAAACAAAAATGATAAAAGTTCAATTTAACTCCTTTAGCTCAACAATAATAAATAAATATGAACTATAAACTTTTTCAACAAATATTTTTATTAAAATCATAAGTACACAGCTTAGTATAAAATATCACAAATTAACTATAAATAAATAAAAATATGTAGAGTCCTTATGACCAAAACTATATAAAATACTAAAAAGTAAAGATAAATAAAAAATAAACTTTTAATATTAAGCACTTGTCTATTATTTTTTATCTATCTAAATGAAGCCTTAAATTCTATGGTGGTATATGTTGTGTAAATAATAGTTGGCTGGCTGATTTATAACGTTACTGGTTTGGTTATCAAGTGTGGTATAAGTTAAAGTGGCTTTATGGTGACCACCTAAGTATTGAGAACTAAATGTTGTCATGCTTATGATAGGAGAAACTTGGTATCTTCAATGACTTTAAAGAGTATGATAAAACTTTATATGACCTCAACAACCATCGTTGAATAAATTGATATTTTAAAATTTTATTAACAGTTCTCTTAAAAATTAAAAATGAAGAACTATTTGAAGCAAACATTTTTATTATATTAATAAACAATTATGAATACACACTTTAGAAAATTAAAATTTATTTAAAAAAATGTTTAGATTCGTGAAGAAACTGATACAAGAATAGATTTACCACGAGAAGGTGAAGATAGTGATGCTATAAAAGTTATGGGAAGTAAAGAAAAGGTTTTGATTGCTTGTGAAATGATAAAGAAAATTCAAAATGAAATGGTAAGGATGTTGTTATAATACATATTTGTATAATTAAATGTTTCATTTATTTAGGGAGATATTTTAACTAAAGAGATATCTTTGGGAAATGTTAAAGTACGAAATGTTATTGTTAATTTGGGTAATAAATTTATTCAATCTATTAAAGAAGATTGTGGTGGTAATGTAACTCTAAAATTGCCAGTAGTCAAGGGTGATAATGTAAGTATAGTTAATTTAAATTCTTAACATTGTGTATTATTCTTGTTAACTTTTTATGTTGCACAAAGAAAAATGTAAAATGAAATATTAAAGAAAATTGATAAGTTCTGAGTTAATTTATTTATACACATTTTATTATTAAAAAAAAATAATAATAATAACACATTGGATGATGAGTCACAAAGATATGACAAATCCAATAAATTATGATCTTATTATCATTTTGTTGAAATTTTTTATAATAATAATTATTATCTTGTTTAAATAATATAGGTACTTTTTTACCTATTTAATTATAACACCATTACCTGTTATACTTAGTGTCTTCTTTTAAAAACCTCAATACAACTATTAGGTAGAATAAAGAAGGAAATAAGAAATTTGAGTAAAAGTTAGTCAATGAATAACTAATTATTTTCATTAATAACTTAAAGAGAAAACTATTATAGTAAAAATTATTTTAAAAACTGTTATTTTAGAAATAAATCATACTAATTATAAATCAAAGTAAAAATTCTCCAAAGAAGTTAAAAAATTTTAATGAAAATTACTTTCGGTATTAGAATTAATATAATTACATACATTTAATAAATTTTGTATGTAGATTATAGTTATCAAAGGTCCTGAAGAAGATGTTGATAATGCCATTGCACAAATTCAAACAATGGTAGATGAAGTTCATAGTTATGTTTTAGACCTAAAAGTTAAACCTGAATTCCATAAGTATCTTATTGGAAAAAAACGTTCCAATGTTAACAGGGTAATCTATTATTTACAAAAATAATTTTGATAGAATTTTATTATTAGACATTGATTTTTATATTAAAGATTCGAGATATGAGTCATACAAGAATTATTTTCCCCCCTGAAACTGATTCAACAAATGAAAATATTACAATAGTTGGTAAAAAAGAAAATGTGGAAAAAGCTAAAGCAGAACTAGAAGTTATGATTACTGATATTAGTAATGTTATTGAAGACCGTGTTGAAATAAATGAAAAGTACCATAAAAGTTTTGTTGCCAAAAGAGGAGAATTTTTGCACAAGTTAGAAGAAGAATGTGGTGGTGTTAAGATATCATTTCCAAAACCAGGAGCTGGTGATAAAGTTATTCTCAAAGGTAGCAAAGCAAATGTTGCATTGGCAAAACAAAAATTACTGGATCATGTTAAAGTTTTGGTACATTTTATTTTTTTAATTATTATTTATTTTTTTATTATTAAAATTTAATTATATTCATTATACCAATCCTAATTTTTGATTTTAAATCAAATAAACAATTTTTATAAGAACTAGAACTTTTTATATATTTTGTTTATATATTTGATTGAACCAAAATCAAATTAAGCATTAATATTTTAAGGTTAAAAATTAATTTTTTATCACATAATTAAAATGTTTGTTGATTTTTTAGTTCTAATAACTACCTTAAAGGTCAAAACTAGTTTTATAATTTTATTAATGATTTTTAAATCTTCAACAAAGTCTGTCTACTGTTTGATTTATTTTGCACAATTTTCGAACCAAACTATAATGTTTTAAAGTTTGTTTGATCATTTTTAATTTTAAGTTGACTTTCGAACTGAATAAGTCTGTAATGTCACTATTTTAAATTATTTAAAATTGTATAACGTTATTAATTTGTTATTATTTATTAGGAAAACACTGTTCAAGTTGAAGTTAATGTTGATCCAAAGTATCATCGTCATTTTGTTGCAAGAAGAGGTGAAATCATAAACCGCATAATTGATGATTGCAATGGAGTATCAATAACATTCCCTAAAGTTGCAACTAATGATAGTGTTGTCATTATCAAAGGTGATAAGAGTAATGCTGAGGAAGCCAAACGAAAAATTGAGGAAATTGTTAAGGATTTGGTAATTAAATGATGACTAATGAATTTGCATATATTAATATATTTTAAACATTTTAGGCAAATATTGTTGAAATTACAATGGAAGTGCCTCCAAAACACCATCGGCACTTTGTTGCTCGACGTGCTGAAGTAATTAATCAAATAAGTGCTGATTATAATGGTGTTACTGTAACATTCCCTCAAGTAAATTCTAATTCTAGTGAAGTGTTAATTAAAGGCCATAAGAATTTTGTTGAAAAAGTGAAAAAGAAGATAAATGATATAGTCACTGATTTAGTATGTTAATTTAAATAAATAATCATTATTTTGTTTATCTTTTTATGAAAATTAAAATGTTATTTTGTATATTAAGAATATATATATATATATAAATATATAATATATATTCTAAGTTACATTTTAGAATATTTTTCTTGTAATGACTAAATTAGTAAAGTCTTCAATTTTATTATTTGGTCATGTTATAAATATCTAATAAATAATTTTTGTAATTACCTTTATAAATACCTTTATGTAAAGATAACATTAAAATTAATATTTTCCTTAATAAATAGAAATATTTGATTTTTTATTTTCAATTTAATGATTCGGTTTACTAATTTGTTCTTGTTATTTTTATAGGAACAACGTATTACAATTGAAGTAATCATACCTCAAAGAATGCATAGAATATTGATGAGAAATCGTGATTTATTAGATAGTTTGAGAAAAGATTTGGATGTATGGATTAAATTCCCTGAAAGACCATTAGGTAATTATCATTAATTTTTATGTAATATCATTATTAAAATAGATAAGTTCATTTATACTTGATAAAATGTTTATTGTTAATTAAAAAATAGAAGATCAATACAATCGAGAACAAGAAGATGCTAATGGCGAAGAAGATGAAAACCGTCCACCTAGTGTAAATGATGTAGTTACTATTTTTGGTAAACCTGAAAATTGTGAAAAAGCAAAGCAGACATTAATAAATAATATACCTAAGTCTATTGATGTAAGTTAAATATCAAGAAAATATTTAATATCAAATAAGTAGTTAAAATATAAAAAATATTATTTGATAAATTAGTTTTTCTTTTAGTCATATATAGATTTAATTATTCATATAACAATAATTTTTTTTAGTTAAATGTACCTGCTGAATATCATAGAGCTTTAATTGGATCTAAAGGTGCAACTATCAGAAAATTAAGTGAAGATTACAATGTTCAAATTAAAGTTCCAAATCAAGATCAAAATGCTGATATCATTAAAGTAAGTTTAAAAAAACATTATATGGAATTAAATATCTTAAAATTTAACATTTTTGTATAATTTTCAATTAATATTATTGCTTATAATTAATTAATTTTAATAATAAATATTTGTAATAAAATATAGAATAAATTAAAAAATTTCCTAGTATTTGTAAAAACTTTATAACAATACTATGATTTTTTTTTTTCAAGATTACTGGTGTTCAAAAAGATATAGATGAGGTTGTTGCAGCTATTAAAGAGGAAATGAGATTATATGATGTTGACAAAGAAGATAGACAGTTACGTTCGTATGAAATTCAGGTAATTATTGTTGTTTCATTAATAAAATAAATATGAACACATTATAATTTATTGAATCAAATAGAATAATAATTTATGATATTTGATGCTGAAAATAGAACATAATTTAAATTTTAATTCTTGGCTTCTTATCTATAGAATATTTTTGTAAGGATTATATTTTTAAAAAAATGTTAAAGTTGTTTCTAATGTGATTACATGTTTAAGCAATTAATTTTTGATACCATGGTAAATTATAATTTAGTTATAATTTTAATTTCAATTGTTAATCTATATATATTTCAATCTATATAATATTATTGCTAAACTTATTAATTTCCAAAAAGAAATGTATTCTAATATTTAAATTATTTATTTATTTTTTATAGATGGTTATTGAATCTGAATTCCATCCAATGATAATTGGAAAAAAAGGAGAAACTGTACGGAATTTACGCAATAAATATGGTGTACAAGTAAATCTTCCTAGAAGAGGTGAAGGTAATAATGAAAATACTGTAACTGTTGTTGGTTATAAAGAAAGTGCTGAAAAAGCAAGAGATGAAATACAAGAAATGGTTGATAAACTTGTAAGTAGTAAAAGAAGATGTGTATTAAATTATAACTAGAGTATAGATTTATATACATTAATCAATTTTGTTGGCTCCATTTTAATAAGACTCAAGTTAGTGTAAATTTTTTGTTGGATTATACAACCTAATTACATCATAATCTTAGTAAGAACTCATTACTAAGTTTTCAAGTATATTAATATAAATTTGTACGGTCTGGTGGTGTGTTTGTAATAACATTAATAATAAAATTTATAAATGCATATAATACCAGACTTTAATTTTGATTAGTAATTAATATTTTTTTTCTTCAGAAAAATGTCTACAAAGAAGAAATTTTCATTGATAGTAGAATTCATTCAAGATTAATAGGATTTAGGGGTCGTAATATATCTCAAATAATGGATAAATTCCATGTTGATATCAGATTTGCAAAATCAGACAGTAGTAATCCTAATCTTGTTACAGTCTATGCTCGTGATGATGCTTCACAAGATGATGTTCTGGATTGTGTTGATCACTTGGAAATGATTACCCAAGACTATGTAAGTATTTAATATTTTTAATAATTTGGTCTTTATTATCAATACCATTAGCTGATTTTGTTTAAAAAAATTGGAAAATATAGCTTAACTTTTAAGATATTTTGAAAGATTTAGATTTATGAATTTTAAATTGAAACTGTAAAATATCTTATGTGTTATACTTAAAATTTTCCCAATAATTATTATTCATAAACTCTAGTAAGACAGCTTTGCTGACCTATGAAAGAGATTGTTGCGTGTATTATTGATAATCTCAATGTAAATTAATATAATTTTATCATAGATATTTTTTAGTTATCTTCCTATAAAAATTTTAAATGAAATTATAATACTCCATGATAAATACTTATTGAGTTACAAGTATTTTAATAAATTGTGTAAATGGAGTTGGCTCGGGGGTATTTGTATGCATTTTTGTTATATGAATATATTATGAAAAAATAATTTTTTTTTTAATCAATCAATTATGAAAATAATATAAAAACACATAAAAATAATAATTAAAGACTTTCAGTACTGCTTTGCTGATGTTAGCATAATAATTACTGACCCACTGTGCTATAACACAGTGCCTGTTGAGGGTTGTGTAGTATGGTTGGTTCAGATCTTACTAATGAAAATAATACTTGTATATTTTTGGAAAAAATAATTAAAAAATGGCTATTTTGAAAATTAAAAAAAAAAAAGATAAAAGTTATAGAGTTGGTCAAACAGGCTAAGAACCAATAAATATTTACCGGTTTTCTTACTTTTTGAACACTGTGTATATAAATAGGTTGGTTATTTAACTATGAGTCACAATATTTTTAAAAGTATAAAACATGTTATAATCTTTTCTTCTCAGAAGTTAATAGGATATTACAACAATTTTATGATTTGATAAAAATGGATAAACATATTTCTATTTTAAAAATTGAAGTTAATTATATTTAAAAGGAAAAAAGGGAGAGATAGGACAACATTTTTTTTGAAAATTATAAATTTGTAAAGGAACCATAAAAAAATTACCATAATATGTAGTTAAATTTTTTGTTTTTCTTTTTAAGAATAAAAACTTTAATTCAATTTACCAATCATAAACAATATTTTTAATGAAAACATACATAACAATTGTGTTTGTTTATCAGGTAGCTTATTTACCATATAATGATATAGTTAAGAAAATGACTGGCTGATACAACTTTTAGACCAGTATTTTGGAAGTTATTTACAATTTAAATGGGTTTAAATGGCATGGGTTTTGTTATCATTATCACCAACAAATTTGAAATTTGATGGTTATTTTCCTCCTGCTACCTAGATATAAAAGTTATTTTTGAGTTATTGAGTTGTTCACAATAACAAAATCATTCTGTTATTATTAACTGAATTCTTTTACTGTTATATATGTTATGTCATTAAAATTACCAATGCATCAGTGATTTTTAATTATTTCACTAGTTACAAATTTTGTTGTTATTTTATAGCTGGATGATTATCTAGAAAATGAAGCAAGAGCAAGTTTGAAACCAAAAACTGATAAACAATCAGTTCCTAATGGTACATCAAATAATAGCTCAGGTGGCCCTGGATTTGTAATGGCTAATGGTGCTCCTTGGGAAAAAGCTCATCCTGATACAAATAGTACTAGAGACTTCCCATCATTTGCAGGAATTGCCAATAACTCTGGCTCTGAAAAATCTTCTGCGCCAAGCTGGGGAAACGGGCGTCGTTAGTTGCAATCCATTCATATAATTGTTTCCAATTATAAATTTTTTTTTTTTTTGCTATTTTAATGAAATAAATTTTTATAGTGTCTGGATGCCACTAACTGAAATTATTATTCTTCATAAAATTACAATTATATATTTTAAGAATAGATTAATGTTTTGATGAAAAATATGTGTTATTAAACATTAAAAATATATATGTTTATATATATATATATATTGAAATATTAGATGGAAAAATCTATATTTTCCAGGCTGTGAAGAATTATGCTGTATAAAATTATAGATTATAACCATTTTGGGTCTCATTTTCTCTTGTATCCGCTATACTCTTTTTATAACAGATAATCATATTAACTGAAGTGTTTTAGTGTATGGTTTCATATATATTAATGTAATGATATGTCTAAACAATGTTAACAAATTTGTTATGCCCCCCGTGTTACATTATTATTATTTTTTTGTTTTAAACTTTAAAATGAATTATTTTTCCTTTTGGAAATTACATTTATAAAAATAATATTTATACAAACATCTAGTGATATACAAATAATTTTTGTATAATATTTATTAACATTGCATTATTTTTAATGATATCATGGTGTGAAAGTATATTAAATTCAAGAGACTTGGAAGCAAAGGAAATTAAAATATGATTACTTTGACAACAAGAATTATGACATAAATAGACTAATATTTTAATTCTATTTATGATGAATTATTTATTTTGTTTAATACATACATTTTTTATATAACACTATTTCTAAATAATTTTAGATCAAATTGTTGTAATAAATAGTATTTTCACATATCTTTCTGATTCAAGTCTTTATTTATAGCATTATGTGAAAATTACTCGATTTATTTATATAATGTACAAAACTAAAAAAAAACGGGACTTATTAAAGATATGTGTAATTAATCTCAAATATAATTTTTTTAGTTATTTAATTTTTTGTTGTTAACAAGTTATTATTAACAAGATTTGTAATCATTTACAATTTATTATTGATAATTTTGTAATCTAATAGTTATTCAATAGCATACAGTTACCATCTCTCATTATTAGACTGCTCAGAAGTTTTATGGAAACAACTTGTTCTTAAAAATTGTTCAATATCTATTTTTAATAATCATATATGTTAAAGTAAAAAAATTAATTAAAATAAAAAAAAAAATTGTTAAAAATAAAAACTTAAAAAGTATTTTTTTAGGCTTTAATTCGTTTTAATTGAAACCTGTAATGTATTATTATCTCCAGTGTTTACTGATTTATAAAATGAAATTCAATTTTGACCTTAGTAGATTTGTTTTATATAAATATATTGAATTGCTTAAATATTACACAATCGACCAAATTTTAATCTTTTTTTTTTCACTAGTTCTTTTTTATTAATACATTTGTTTTTCACCTATATTTTTGTGCCCTAATCAGTGTAATGTATTGTGGAAACTGTATAAATAATATAATGTTCAGGGTTGAATATTAATAAATTAATTATTTATAACAATTTTTTAGTAATTATTTCATCTCAAAATATTGTATATACCAATTTAAATTATAAATTTCACTTCCTTATTTTACGAATTGCTTCAATCTAACACATTAACTTTTGATAAAACAACTATACTAATATAGAGCTTTTAACAATTAAATCATTTTCAATTCATGTTAAACTTACCTACAAGCAACATGTGTGTTTACTTATCTATAATCGCATTTATAGTTTCAGATACTCGTTACAAACCTTGCACGTATGGCAGGTAAAAACATATTTTTCTTCTCAAAATTCATAAACAAACTAAAACGCCATCGATCTGTAGCAGCTTTAAAAAAACAAATTCGCCCAAACTAAAACAACCAATCAAAATATCTAAAATAAATAACTACACAATCACGGTTAAAAACAACAGAAAACGTTAAAAGATTAACACAAAAAACAATAATACTCTCTTTGATCAAAATACTGAGTCAAATAAAAAAACTTTCACTAAAATACTAAACATTAATTATTTTTCTAAAGCTACACAACCTTAATAAGAGAATTGTTATTGCAAATGATTATTCTAAAATACTCATAATATAATAATAGAAGCTCTCAAACATTACCAAATAACACCTACTGGACCAATCTTGGAACTATTGTTATATTTTGAAAATGCCGTATTTTTTTCAAATATCGAACTAATTAGCTTTTTATACAAAAAACAAGTTTTTTCACAACTGTCCTTGTGAGAAAGATTTCAATCAATTTGAAATCCTCAGCACTGGGATCATAAATAGAAACTGATGAAGAAGAAGAAGATCCAATAACTCCAATAGACTTAGATTCCGAATTTAATTGTAAGTAATTTATAGACCTATTGTCACTAAATAAATGATAAACCCACGAAAATCAATCCTAGCAAAAATATCAAAAGGTAAGCTTCAACTGAATCTTTTATAAATTTATATCAATATAAACAAAAATATCCCAACTTGCCAAACAAGAACACTACACCAGAAATTAATCCACCAATAAAATAAAAAAAACAAGTTATACTGAAAATCGTCGAATCATTAAATGCCAATCAAATAAGTTTTTGATAAAGACAGCAAGACATTACAAATATTCAATTTAAAGATACGATTTAAAGGATGTCTAAAATAATCCAGACACAGAATTCATTTAGTCAGTGTTATATTTCTCTTAAAACAATGATTGACATTATTGAATAATTATGACCCAAACTTCAATCTGCAAGCAGTAAAATTCAAATGACCCGTTTTACAAATACATTATTTCAAAAATATATGGATCAAAAAGATAATAACATTTTTCAAAATGACAACTTATCTTTACAATAACCACATTAAAGTAACTAACACTAACAAATATACAATAAAAATATCGGTAGTTTTATTACCATAATAAAACAAAAAAAAATACGTTAAATATTAATTTTTTTAATAATTATAAAAATGTCAGAGTTATACTTTTCTCAATTTCGATAAATGAAGTGATTAATATCATAAAACTATCAACAAATTCATATTGACATCAACATCAAAACCAAGGGAATACATTTATTTTAAAAACATACAACAAACCGTAGATAGTTTTAATGTTTGGACCAAAAGAAATAATTTAAGATTTTCTCTAAAAAAATATAAAAAAAACGGAAATAAAGTCATTTTCTTTATCATTGGTGAACTCAATGTTTCTAATAAAGGAATAACAATAATATAGATCCCTAGTCTCGTAGGCATTGTCGGTAATGAACGTGCAGATTTAGTAGTTAGAGCTATGAGCAATAACTTGTTATTAAATTTTTTATCGATGTTCCAAAGAAAATCAAATTTATCAAAAATTATTATTAATGTATAATATTATTTGAATATGAGATAACAGTATGCCCAACGAGATATCAAATTAAGAGGAATAGAATTCTCTTTTGAAAACTGAATCGACTCAATATTTCTTGTGTGTGTTACAATTAAATATAAAGAGAGGCGCCATTTAAGTTTAATTTTCGTTGGCTACTAAAAATTTTAAAATATTTACCGGAGGTGAAGCGCGGTATGAATAATTTTATTTATGGATATTTATCGGTTGCACTCCACATCGCACTATATAAAAATAATAATAAGTTAAAATAGTATAAAAATATTAATAACAAACGAAATAATAGATTAAAAGTTACTATAGTTCAGTCTTTTTTTTTGTTTATTGGGTAGTTAAATATGAAAGTTACCATTAAAAAAAATAATGTTCACACGCTTATAAGGCATAAGGAATGGATGAAAAAATACTTAATAATTAATAAATCGAAAAATATGTGTTATAAAATATGTATAATAACTAAAAATAATCAAAACAAGTTTTTCGAAATCATTTTGTAAGTAATTGATTAGTTATGATAAATGGATTATCATATATTTTCGGTGAACCTATTCTTATGGACAACTAATAATTCTTAATTTAATTAACATTTAGCTTTTGTTTTTGCATTTTTGGTTTGTACATTTTAATTTTATATAATGATTTGTTAGTTTCATTTTGGTCACTTGGTATGTTTTAGTTTTATTTTTAGAGCGTCTATAAATTAAAATTTTACTGAAAATCTTTAATCTCTACTCAGTAAAGATGAAATATCAGTTAGGAAACAATAGATGCAGAGTGAAATTATACTTAAAATATTGATGCAATGTGAAATGTTTTTCAATAAAAATGATTCATATATTTTCAAACAGTTATGATTTTTAAATTTATTATGTACTTATATTATAAGATTTTAGGAAGATATAAAATATACGACACTGTGAAAAATTGTTTTTTTAGTATTTTAATTATTATTATTTATGTTTTTTAATTCTTAATCAAATATGTGCTACCATAATATTGGTGTTTATTCGTAAGAATAGCCTATGTTAAATTGAAAAGATGAAATTAATGATACTAAAATGTCAATATTTTGAAAAATGTCTGTTACTTGATTTTGTCAAATCAGTAGCGATTTCATTGTGCTTTTATTCCTAAAGTGAAATTTCACTCTGCACTTATTGATTCTAAATAGATTCTCTCTACACTACTGTATCGATAAATCGAACAATTATGTTAGATCTTTAATAATAGTCAAATGAAGTTTAACATTAAGTAAAAAATGTGATAAATTCATGTTAATTTATAATAAAAATGTTGGGGTTACTATATTTATTTATCCCCGCTCTTAAAATATTTCTAAATCACATTGAATATATATTTTATATTTAGATGATCCTAGTCCTTTCTAGATGGTTAGGTTAGCCTGTATTATTTTTTATTTCAAAACAAAAAACAGTATAGATGTGATGTCGTATAATAATATTAACTGATTTAAAACAATATGTAAATAATGTTCATCTTAATCTATTTCTTTTTTTTAAAACAGGAAACTGCGTTAAAATAACACCTCCAATAGAGCCGTCCTTTTTGTTGGTTTCTTCGTTGCAATTCCATCTACAAAATTTTAATGTACAAATATTAAAAGTAATCCTTTAAAATGCATTAAAGTCATATAAAATTTTTCATTTAGTGCATGGTTTCATACACCGTTTGACCTGGCCTACAAACAAAAGACTATATATTTAAGGATTGTATATAACAATTGGGTTTCATTGTTATTTTTTGTTTCTGTCCTGAACTAAGAATTAATTACACAATTGGTTGAATTTGACATGATCAGATTAAATTTAATTTTCAATTACTTTCAAACTAAATTATAAATTAGTAGAACCAAATGGGAATTACATGGGTCTAACAGGTTATTTTAAACATTTTATTTTTCATAATTTTGGTCTTAAAAAATGTAGTTTTCACTAGGTATCTGATCTTCTATTTTTATATATTCGTATATAAAATAAATATTATTAGCCAATAGTTAGTGTTTAGTCATAAGTGCATCAATATCTGATAAAAAATTCTATACTTAATACAAAAGTGGAATACTATTTTAGACCTATTTTTATGTCACTTCATTTTAGAAATAAATAAAGTGATCAATGAGGAGGGTAATACCTCCTGGATATATCATTGCTTATGTAGGAGGAGAAAAATTTATTGAGTCATCTAAAATTTTAAGTAAGTAGTCCTGTAATTATTCAATTTGTGAGAAAATTATTTGAAGTAACTATAATGACTATTATAATTGGAATATATTTTATTATCAACATGCATATTTAGGCTATCCATTATATACCACATACTTACACTTTGTTAATTTATTTTAATAATTAGTTTTTTTTATTAAAATAATAAAAATTATCATTGGGCTTGGTTATGTTAACAAGCTTTTTGTACGTAAAATAATTAATTCCCTTTTAAAATTGAAATTACAAAAATCGCATGCTATGATAACGGATAGTGATTATAAATAGTTTTCTTGGCGTTTTGAAAAATTATAAAAATGTAGTTATGTGGTATTACGGTTTGTCTAATGATAACGATAATATTAATGAATTTGAATGTATTATTTCTATACAACTGATCTTAGTTATTGTTTAACCAATTATTACTAATATTTTAATTGGGTTCAAGTTAATTTAGTAGCATGCTTACACCAGGACTGGGTCTAGTTACTCCACCGACTATTGGAATCGTTCGCTCTGGATAGTACCCTTTCATATTTCCAGAAGCGTTTCCGTCTACTGCTTTTTGTAATGCTACCATCAGTCTGTCCAGTAGTAGAGCTGTTCGTTTTGGAACAACTACCTAAACATTACAATTCATGCTAGTGATTTTAAAATAGTTAAAAATTCCAATGTAATTAAAAAATTATAATTTGTTACTTTAAAAATGAGTGATGTTTTTTTTGTGTCAATCCTATATGTCAAAAAGTTACCAACTGAAATCTTAAAATATTTGGCAGAAAGTAAGGTTAAAATTATTTATTTTGTCTTTACGTTATGGCAGTTAAAACATTAACAATATTATTGCGCTCTATGTTCTAAGTAGTTAAAACGTTATGGATTTACAAAGTTTTCTGGTATTTAAACAATATAAAATTTCTATGTTTTTCGGTATTCAAATGTTATTGATAATATCTTTTCTTTATTATGAATTAATCCATCATTCCTTGTATGTTAGAAATTCCCTGAGAGTTTTTATTTTAAGAAACATTAGCTTGTTCGTAGTTAAATTTTCCCCAAATTCATTGTGCTTTATAAGTTATAACAAATAATCAGTATGTGTTTAGTTTTTTGTTAAATTTCGTTTGCAGTTTTATATTCTTGGTTATTTTAATTGTGTCTATGTATTAAATAAAGCGTACAAATTATAGGCAAAACTAAACCTTTTTGTAAGACAATACTTAAAAAAATTTAATAGCTTTCGAAGACTTTTGTTTTGTGTTTTTATTGTCGTGTTCTAGTAAAACTAAAAGAACTTAGTTTACCAGTTGGAAAAGTATATTAAAAAACGGTAGCACAGTGGGGACACGGCACAGTTTGAGCGTGGCATAGTTGGGACAAGTATAGATGATATCTGACAGTAATTAAAATCACTATCATAAGAAACACTTCGATGCAAATCTGTACATAATGTTTAATTTAAAGAAATAGGTGGATTATCCAAAAGCAAAATTCTAACTCAAAAAAATTAAGGAAAAATTGTAAAAAAATCATAGACACAGGCAATGATTTTTACTGAATCGTCAAACGTTCGTCGCATTCGTTTTTTGATAAAATTGACAATTTAAGCTGATTTAAATGTTAAAATTAATTTTTTCGACTTAAAAGAAAAAAAAAATGAAATAAGTTTAACTTTATATTTTATGTCAATTAGTTTTATGTAATATTCATGAAAATCAGTGTACCCCATTATAAGGCAAATTAAAATACAATACCAAGAATTTTAACACAATAATAGCATATTTTTGAATATAATAACCATGTTCACTATATCTCGATTTTTTTTTTTTTTTAATAGTATAATATATTACATAATCTATATTACATTAAATAAAAGTGTCAATATTTCCGGAAAAATTTTAAAAATTGAGTTGAAAAAGTTTAACTTGTGTGCAAAAATTTTTATTTTGAATCCCCCCTGTGGTCAGGTCAAAAGTCAGATTTTCAAAAAATCTATATCAAATGAAAAAAGTCAACATAAAGTATTTATAAAAAAAAGTTGTATTGATCCATACATTTTTTGAAAAGTTATAGTAATTTAAAGTTGAATAAAATAAAATTTGAAATCGTAAATTTGTCCATTGGGACAAATTTTTTTTTTAACTTATAGTTCATAACATAAGGTTTATTTTATAATGTGTTTGAAGTTCAGAAAATTTCTGGAACATTTTCAAAAATTAAGTTGTAAAAGTTTAACTTCTTTGCAAAAATTGCTACTTTGAATTCTCCCCTGTGGGCAGATAAAGGGTCAGATTTTTAAAAAAATTATATAAAATAAAAGAAAAATATCTAAGGTTCCAATATAAAAAAGAATTATTTTGATTTGTTCATTTTTAAATAAGTTATGGCAATTTTTAGAAAATAAAGTTTAAAAAATATCGAAAATTAGCGATTTTTAAATTTGTAATTTTTTGGTGGATTTCCCCCGTTTACGGTGAATGAGGGAATTTTTTTCAATTTTTGAGGGTAATGTATTCGACTAGATACGATTTGTGATCTCTTGAGATATTGTTCATCAAAATCGGTCAAGTGAAAGCTGAGAAAAAGTAGTGACAGACACAAAAAAAAATTTTAATTAAAAAAAAAATAATTACATCATTGTAAAATTAATACCTTCTCAGCTTCGCATCTAAGTTAAAAAATTTTAAAAATCCTAAGACCTCGAAACAAATTTTTTCTACTTAGTTAATGACCTATTTTTTTGCTTATAATGTAAAATAAGTAATGAAGTCGATAAATAATAGCCCAATATATCTTTTTGAAAACAAAATAAAAATATCATTTTGTAACATAAAAATTTAAGATAAAGTATTTTAAATAGACATAAAAGAAAAAAAAACATAATGCTAAAATTAATACCTTCTCATAAAATATTATTATTATTATATTTTATAATATATATTTAGTTAAACAATAGAATCTGGAGACTTCTTATGTGTTTAAAAATACTATTTTTAAATATAGTTAATATATAGGATATTCGTTAAGTAAGGAATCGGGTTTTTATTGTTCTTATTGTTTGTTACAATTGACTTGTTTCTCTACTTACTGAACAACTTGTATACAAAGATTATACTTGTAAACAAATAATAAACAAAATAATTATTTCAATATTTTTCATTTAATTCATCTTTTTGATAACAACTGTTTTTTTTGGAGGGATTTTATATGTAGTATCTGAACAAAAATTCAGAGTAAAAAATCCTTAAAAGCCATCAAGTTAAAGAAATGAAAAAAATGCAAAAATTAAGAAGCCATAGAAATGCAAAAATTAAGAAGCCATAGAAATGCAAAAATTAAGAAGCCATAAAAATTCAAAATATTAAGAAGCCATAGAAATGCAAAATATAAGAAGCCATAGAAATGCAAAAATTAAGAAGCCATAAAAATTCAAAATATTAAGAAGCCATAGAAATGCAAAAATTAAGAAGCCATAAAAATTCAAAATATTAAGAAGCCATAGAAATGCAAAAATGAAGAAGCCATAGAAATGTAAAATATTAAGAAGTCATAGAAATGCAAAAATGAAAAAGCCATAAAAGTTCAAAATATTAAGAAGCCATAGAAATGCAAAAATTAAGAAGCAGTAGAAATGCAAAAAAATTAATAAGCCATAGAAATGCATTAACATAGGAGTGTCATTTTAAATTTTTTTTTTTTTTTTAATTTGGTAGTCCATTTAGCCTTATATAGCAGGCCCAATTTATTGCCATTTTATTGATGTAAAACATTTTTGAAAGTCAAATTTAAAAAAGTTTTATTTATTGTTATAAATTTTTTTTCTCTGAGGGGAAGAAATACATGTAGTTTCTGGTAAAATTTGTTTGCTCAACTTCTATGGGACTTTACTTAACCCATCAACGCCTGGCGTCCCCATATGGTGACATTCGTATTGCTATTTTTATCGCGCGTTCTTAGAATAATAATTTAATAGGTAAAAGCCGAGTGTACCCATATGGTGACACTCAATATCTCAGAAATCGTATTTTCAAAAAATTTAAAAATAATTTTTTTTTATTTTTGTGTTGTATATTAATCTGTTTTTAGTAAAAAAAATAGAAAGTTTGAAAAAAAATAATTCTTGGCGTTGATGGGTTAAAGTGGAGCTAAACTAACATAAAACATTTTTTTTTAATATTTTAGTTAATTTCGCTAATATTAGTAGTAAAAGATCACAATTTTTGTATTTTGTATATTTCTAATACTTTACTTATGTATTAACTTAGCGATTTTCAGTAGTGTAATAATTGTTTAATAGGTCCATGGGTTATAAATTTTAGTAAGCCGTAATTGTAACATTAATTACATTCTTATTAGTTAGTTTCCATATAATAAAGTATAGCTAATAATTCTTAAAGGACAATACTATCAATTTACTTCGTATTTCTATATTTTTTGCTTTTTTTATTATATTTTAATGAAGTAATTCAGTCTAATAAATTGGATTTTTTTTTGTAAAATAAAGGATTGGACAGAAAGAAATTGGGATGAAATTTTTAATTCATTAAATTAAAAATAATGGTTTAATTTATGATTAATAAAATTTATTAACTGAAAGTAGTTAGGATCAAAAAATTTCAGTGGATCACTTCAAAAACATCATATATTTTTACAAATCTTAGTTTTCCTCTGTAAATCTTTTATAACTACTGCACAAACCAAAAAAGATTTAATTATTCCACTATTATATTTAAAATATATTAAAGATTGGTGAAATATTTACTTTATGAGTTTTATTTCCATTTAATCATTGAATATTCTAAAAAATTAATTTCAAGTGAAAGAATAATGTTGTGCAGTAATAGGTTTAGAAGCCATAGAAATTCAAAAACATTAATGTATGTTTTCTGAGATTTTTTGTTAATTTTATTATGATTTAACTATCAACTAATTAATAGATGATTATATTTCAATCAGATTTAAATAAATTTGTATTTCATGAATTAACGTGTATTTGTACGTTGAATTTTATTGTAGTGCAATAACATTTTATTTGTCTTCATTATTTAACTAATTATAAAGAAAAGATAACAGAATAAGATTTAAATAATAATAATCATAATTAAAATTTTGTGGAAAATTTTCTACAAAGAATAATTTTTTTAATCGAGTCACAAATATTGAATACAACGTTTAGGCTTTATTTAAGGATGTAATTTAAATATTTTACAATACAATAGAAAATAAAATTAAGTAGTCATTGTTATTATTAGCTTCGGATGCGAAGCTGAGAAGGTATTAATTTTTAATTATTTTGACAAGCTCAATTTTACAAATTTGAATATTGTATAAAATACAATAAAAATAGTATTTGCAAATTATTTCAACAATACAAATATTAATATACTGAAAATAAAATTATTTAAATTTTGTGAGCTATAACGAGAAGGTGGTGTTAGCATTAGTAGTACACCTCAACGGGATTATAGAAGAATTAAGCAATTGTGATGTCGAGTAATGAAGAATAAAGAAAGAAGAAGAAGATTCTTAGCAGAGTTTTAAAATTAATGAGTGATAATAATTCAGGGGAATCTACATTACCTTGAAGAAGACCGGAAAGTAAATTAAGATTAATAGTGTGTCCACAATCAGCTTTATTTGGGATTCCAAATACCAGAAAGACAGAAACATAGTTATGTGGTGCACATAAAATATTAAATCTATAAGAACATAGACAGAGAAATTTTCGTTTTTTAATTGTTTTTTGTTTGTATTTTTTAATTGCGGAATTGTTAATTGTATACTAAAAATCAATCGTACCTTATAATATAAGTATTAATTTGTATTATCTGCACTCAAGTTTAGATAAATTCCTAATTAACTAAAGTTAATAAAAAAACAAGGAGAAATATTTTAACGTTTCATTTTTGGAAATTTCTGGTAATTTGTTCACAAAAATTTAATTATGCACTGTAAGAAATGATCTACACATTATTTTACGTTAGTATATTATTTTTTCTATAAACGTTCATTTAATTTAATTTAACACATAAGAAATATAATTTTGACATAAAGTATCGAAAATTTGTTCACAAATATAACATTAATGTCTCTATTCATTCAAATATTCCATTATATTGTTTTCGTTAAAAACATCAAATATAAGTGTTTGAAAATTTGGAAATTTTTTTAAGAGGGTGATTATTATTCTTTAACTCTATTTTTGTAATCCCTTTACTTATAACTCGTTAAATATTTAAACAAATAATGAAGATAAATAAAATTTAATTTCACCAAAATATCCAGGGTAAAAATACAAATTAATTCGTAAAACATAGATTTACTTAATGTAAACATATCATGTTTACATGTGATAAAAAAGTAATTACTTATATTTCGAAATTTCGTAGAAATTGTTGTTTTTTTTATTATGTTATTTATTTTAGCAGCAATTATGTCTTTATTTAATTATGCATTAATACAAAAAATAATATTTTTAAAATCTTCACAAAATTGTCTTATAATGGTTATAAATTCATAATTGGACGTTTAACCAAAAAAAGTTATAGTGAAAAGTTCAGATTAATTTTTTGATAAATAAGTGCTAAATCACTTTTAGAAACCTAAAAAACAGGTTAAGCTTGTCGCAACTGTATCAAATTTCTCACAATTCGTTCATTATATAGTTAAAACAACTTTAAAGAGTTTATAAAAATAATTTTATATTTTTTATGAAGTTTTATGTGTGTAATTTTGTGTGTAATTTCTAACTAGTAATTATCTCAGAAAATAGATGTGATGGAACAAATCTAAACCCAGTTTTGGTATCAGTAGCAAAATTCCATAAAGAATTCATCTAAGTATTGTAATCCACAGATTTTTTGTTATCCTGTGAAATATTTAATTATTTACTGCTCAATTTTTATTACTTTTGTTACCTAGCTCAGTCAGTAATGTGTCGTGTCTCACTGGCACAAGCAATAGCTTTTAGAGAGGACATTAAAAATGATAAAAAAATAATCAAAAATTTAGGCTGTGTTTAGACAATAAAACAACGGATTAATCGTACGCTATTATGATTTCTACTACTAAATATTATCGCCATAATAGCATAATTAATATTTTAGCACGATACTGCATGAGTCATATGGACATACATGGTGACTTATGTTACCGTGTATGTCTATCGGTTATAAATTATATAGTTTACAACTAATTTTAAAAAAACATTAAAAGAACCGATTTTTGCTATCTTTTCGTTATTTTAAAGGGTTTTTTTTTAAATAAATGGAGGTTCTCGATGTTTTGTTTTTGAGTCGTAAAATTATCTACTATAGATTTAAGTCCATTTTATTTACGAGTAATTAGTGTATAGATAACCTAATCATTTGTATAAATCCTTAAATGAAACCGTTAAAAGTTAGTTTTTGACTACTAGTTTTACCACAGCTGTTAAATATGTTGTTCTAAAATTCTTGTTTTGGAACATAAGCTCTTTGTTGTTGATATTCACATTTGACAATTGATTGATTTGTTAGATTCATCAGTTTATTCGGCAGTAAGTGAATCAAACAATTTAAATAATACCTCTCTGAATCGTACCTCTAGAGTAATGGGTCTTGATTTATTTAATGTTGGCACACATACCCCCACAAATGTATGTATAGAGTGTTATTGAGTTACACCTAATTCAAAGTTATCTGTATAAAATGTATATGTGTCATTTACTTACAACTAAACAATCTATTTACTTTGTTACATTGATCTTAAACAAAAAAATAAATATACTGGCTAAGGATTTCTTTGAAATTATACAAATTACTTTATATTATTTTGTTTTTCATGATAAAAATTTCATTAATTTATTGTTTATTATAGGTTATCAGAGCTATAGTACATCTTTTTCAAAATAGTTGTTTTTCATATGAGATTCTGTTTACGAATATACTCCATGTATACTGTTGATATAAACTAGGTACCCGTTAAATGTTATATTAAGTTAAAACAAGGGGAGTGATTCAGAGGAATAACATCTCTCCCAAAAATTCTTAGGAGCGAATCACAACATTAAAAAGGAAAACATACAAATATTGTCAACATAAGGTCAAAAAAAAAAAAAAAAAAATCTATTATCGGTAGTTATGATTTATATAATATTTTATTTAATTAATTTTTATTTTATCGTTTGATGAAAACTTGGAAAAAAAATTGTTGACTTTTTATGCTCATCATTATTGTTTAAAGGGCGATTCTGAAAAATATTGACGGTGCTAAAATTTATGTAGCCACGCCACGTCAAAATGTTAAATATGGTCTTGAGTCAAAAGCTCATAAACATATTTGAATATAATTTTATTGTACGAGAAATATAAATAAGTCTATTTTTAGCTAATATAAAATAGTTATTTATCTCAATTTTAGTTATACTGTTGGTCTTATATTTTATTTTTGGAATGTTTTTTGATGCCGAATATTAACGGTTGAACATCGAAAGTATATAGAAAACTATGTGAAAGGGAACAAAATACAAGAGTCAATATTTTCATCATGTGCATATTGTTTTTATTTCAACAAATCAATTTAGATCAAATTCTCAGAATGAAATCTTAATTAAAAATGTCCCTGTGTCAATTTTATTTAAAAACATCTATTACATTTATATTCTTGTCAATAGGTATGAAGCAATGTCAAATGTAATATAGAATGTGTTTCTAATTCTAGCTTATATTATGATTAAAAAATAAAATTACATCGTGGTCGTTTAAAATTTAAAGGTGTTGGCTTAATAAAATACAATATAGTGATAAAATAACGTGCTTTTATTTTATTAAACGGCTAAAGTTAATGAATAAAACGTTTTATCGACTATTGAAACATTTATTCTGCCCCGAATTGCAGTCATAAATAAATGCATTTCCTAACATTGTATTTAATATGAGTACGTGTAAAATGTTTTGTATACTAACTGGGTATTCGTCGAATTCGACTTCTTGACTTGTCTCGTCATTTGACGATTGTTGTTCTTCTTCTGCCCGTTTTTCGTACCTAAGTAGTGTTAACGGGTCTAAAGGTTTCTGAAAGTCTGATTCACCAGATGCTATCAATAATGATATAAATATCAAAATGATTACATTACAAATGATCATTTTGGCGAGTTTGTCTGCAGTTGCGTTCACCTGTAAAGTAAATCAAACTATTACTAAAAAAATAGTCTAGTTGATTCAGAAGTTATATGTTTAGTTACTTTTTTCAATGCATTAATATATTAGGTTGGATTGGGTTGGGTTTAACAAGTTATGCAAACCTTTAAAATCTTATAAAAGCGCTACGTTTAAATTACATTTAAGTGTTAAGGCTTTTCATAGGTTATAGAATAATTGATACTCTTCATTTTGATTATTATTATTGCTATGAAACTATATTTTTAATGTTAATTCTTAGAAATATGTTTAGGAAGTTTTAATTAATTAATTAAAACAATTTTTTACGAACGACCTCAGTTGTTTTTTTCTCATATTGTGACAACGGTAATATAATACTACACTTCATTGTATAATACTATAAGAAAAAATCATTTGGGGTAAAAATTATTGGAATTGGTCAATGGTAAAATTTTAAATCGTCATATCTCAAATGTCCGATACATTGTTTTGATGGAGTAGTATTGAGAAACTCCTGTGTAGCCATAATTGAAAATGTACAAAACTTTAAAATGTTATAACTTTGCCTAGGAAACAGTTTAAAGAAATTAAAAGCTTCTATTGAAAAAAAAAAATTGATTAAATCTTTTACACAGAGATAAGTAAAGAATAAATTAATAATAAAATAATAACAGAATGTAGCTGTAGAATTCCAGCTATTTAAAACCCAAGTATTTATTTTATTAAATATGTATTTTTTATGAATTTTTGTTGTAATGTTTATTATTTTTTTCATCGTTAAACATTTTTCAGAAAATTTGATAAATAGGACATGAAGTATTTTTTTTATAAAACTGGGTTATTTTATTCATAATATATTTGAGTTTCTATCTAAGGGTAGGTTAGACGTAAGTTTCAACGGTAAATAATAAAATTATTACAGATACTTGCACATTATTTGGAAGGTTAATTAATTTCAAGCTGATTTACTTTAGTATAATAACAAATAAGAAGACTTTGCATACAAATTAGACACTATCCAAATTGTACGAAAAACGAAATTCAGTTATTACTAATTACTTAACAAGGTTAGTAAAATAATCAACAGAGATAAAACTGTAAAGAATTATCATAATCACGAGGTAATTCATTTACTTTAAAATGTTCATTTTCTTGTTTAAAAATCATTTTTTACATCAGGGAGGAATTTATGTAATCATTTTTAAATTATATAATAAAGATTAATTAGGTTGTATGTTGTTCATTGACAAAGTTTTATTTACTATATGTAGCTAATAACACTTTTTATGTATAAAAAAGGTATATTTCTTTTACTCAAACATTACACACGTGTAAAAAAAAATTTAAAAAACATAAAATCTTAAGAAATATTATCTTGGTACAAATCTGAGAACTTTTTCAATAATAAAAAGTATGTCTAAAAATGTGTTCTTGGATAGTAATTATTTTTTCAATGTATTATGTGTCAATTGAATACCAACCTTTTGTTAAGTTTAAGTTTTAGGCAAATTTATAGTATGTGTCTTCTCTCAATAATTGCACTTCTCAAAAAAAAACGTTGTTTCTAATCATATTTTATAGCTGTTCCCATTACAGGGACATGGGTAAAAACCATTTTTAGAAATCTTAACCTTCCCGTTAAATTATAAATTAAACGTTATAAATTAACGAGTAATATTGTCACAATGACATAAATATCACTCAAAATTTACTCCCTAGAGGACAGATTTTTAATTTTAAATTAACTTTCATCTACTTTAAATAAAACCCAATATAGTAGGGTTGCAGCATAGTGGTGACGTGCTTTATTTGGGACAAGTCTATCTGACACTTAAAATTAAATTGCTAAATAACATTATAGTTTTTATATTACAAAAAATCCAGCACAGTGAGGACACAGCATAGTCAGAACAAGTATAGATGATATCTGACAGTGATTAAGAACACTATCATAAAAAACGCTTCGATTCAAATCTGTAGATAGTGTTTAATGTTTAGAATGAATTGTTGGTTTATTTCAAAAGTAATTTCAACTCCTATTTCCTGAATTATATCCTGATTACAAACTTTATTACACATAAATTTAATACATAAACAAATATACAGAGTGATTTTTTTATCATAACCCACTCAATTACTTGCAGAATAATAATAATTTAAACATTTTTTTTTTCATTATCTTTAGTTACACATTATTCTTGAATTTTTAACTATGTAATACTTTTTAAGTTCCTCCCTTATGCCTTGGAAGGGGGTCAACTTTGTTTTTTTAAATGGTAACACATATTTTTAATTTAATAAAATGTTTGAGTTTTTAATTTAATAGTAAATGGCATTTGAATTTTTAATATAACTTTATTAGCTTATTAGATATAAACATTTAAAGTTTCAAAATTTTGAGTTAATATACATGTATAATACACATGGGATTGTAAATACAGGTAGCTAATTGGATTTTTATGACATTGCTGTCTCAGTCACGGATTGTTTATTATCAATTATGATTATCAATAGATATACTTTCTGTATTGTCAGTTAGTGTATTTATAAACTCATAACAATGTGCCTTACTACAATTGATAATAACAATGCTGTGTACCTGCTAATATCGATGTTATAAAAAACCAATTAGCTACCTATATTTGTAATCCCTTGTGTATTATACCTGTATATTAATTCAAAAATTTGAAACTTTAAATGATTATATCTAATAAACGAATTAAGTTATATTAAAAATTCAAATGCCATTTACTATTAAATTAAAAACTCAAACATTTTATTAAATTAAAAATATGTGTTACCATTTAAAAAAACAAAGTTGACCCCCCTCCAAGGCATAAGGGATGAACTTAAAAAGTATTACATAGTTAAAAATTCGAGAATAATGTGTAACTAAAGATAATAATAAAAAAAAATGTTTAAATTATTATTATTCTGCAAGTAATTGAGTGGGTTATGATAAAAAAATCACCCTGTATATATTTGTCGTAAACTTGTTGCCCTTATGATATTGTTTCAATATTCCAATAACTTATGCCTTGGAAGGGGCCAAGGCATAAGGGATGAACTTAAAAAGTATTACATAGTTAATAATTCAAGAATAATGTGTAACTAAAGATAATAAAAAAAAAAGTATGGTATACTTAATTACTTCGTATATACATGTTAAGTCTAATATATAGGTATAAATAATTGAAAAAAAAAAAAATAAAATAAAAAATTGTGACAACAAGAAAAACGATAATTTTTTACACTCAAATAACATAATTTTATTAACTTTGTGGACTGTTTACAAATAGAAAATAAGGTGTTGGGAAACCTTATTTTTTAGTTTATACCTAATTTAAAAAAAATAATATTAGAACATTAGCTTTATAATAACATATTTTTAATGCTCGGACTATTTCCGGAACATAGTTAAAAGTTAATTTTTCATACAAAAGTTGTTATTTTGAATCCCCCCTATGAAAATTTAAGGGTCAGATTTTCAAAAACATTTTTAAAAAAGTTATGACAATTTAAAGTAAAAAAAACATTTTTTTACGAGATTTCCCTCTATTTACAGGGAACAACATAATTTTTTTCAAATTTTGACGGTAATTCATTTAACTAGATATGGTTTGTAAACTTTGGATGTATTGTTGAAAAAAATTAGTCTAGTAAGACCCGAAAAATGTTTTAACAGACATAAAAATGTAGATATATAAATGTATAATTACAAATTATAAATTATATATTAAAAATATATATTTATATGTATATACATATGAAAAAATTATGGTAAAATTATTACCAATTCAACTATTCATCAAAGCTAAAATAGTTACTTTTCTAAAAAGACTATTATGAATAATATATAGAGAGAAATCGAAGAAGAACCTCGTATTATCACATTAAAGATAATTAAAGAAAATTTTATTTCTTAGGGCTTATATCGTGTTATATGTAATCTAATAAATATAAGTGTGTATGAAATGATGACAACTTAGAGTAAAAAAAAAAAACCGTTAATGAGTTTTTGCAACGAAGCGAGAATGTATTTGGTATAATTTAGAAAGTAATAGTATTAAATTAATTTAAAGGATGAAGTAGAAAAAAATTATAAAACTATAGTTTTTAGTTAATCAAAAGTTCCTACTTATTATCAGTAACATACAAGTTTAATAAAAGTAAATAAAATACGATGGTGATAGATCTATTTAAATAGTGGAAATACATAAAATGATTGATAATAGTTAATTTAGACAAACAAATTTCAGTAAAATGGTCAAAATAATTTTTAAAAATAGTAAAACAGATGTTTATTATCAATCAAAATGATATGAGTTAATGTCAAAATATTTGTCTAACTTTCCACGTATGTGTGTTAAGTATAGCGTCGATTAGTACTTAGTAGTTGAAACTGTTTTTAAATGGCCCATAAGTTTCTAATTTTTATTTTACTTTAATTCATAGACGTGCGTAAAGGGAGCCTTTGCTGTCCTTGATTATTTTTACCTAGTTTATTCTAGTTCAATCTGAGTTTACAAAAAGTTTTTTTAAGAATAAATGCTTTACAAATCCCCTAAATCTTCCATAAATTATTATGGCTGGTTAGGAAGAGTCATGAGCCGGTACACGTTTTTGTTGCCCTCGTTTTAAATCTTTATCCACGTTCATGCTTTAATTGTCAGAATATCACTTTGTTCCTCTATTTAATAATAGGAACTTATTATACTTACCTCATACAAAATCTACACCTTTTTAAAAATTAAATAAAGTAATTTAAAAAAACATAATCATCTAATATATAACAATACTTAAAATATTATAATAAATAACATAGAAGTTAAACATTTTGTATAAAATAAATATCTCATTCAAATAAAAAGTGAGCAACTCCTGTAAGTGACAAAAATTGTAATTAGTGTTTGCACAGTTATTTTTATAGACTACAGGCCTTGTCGAGGAGATTTTTAATTTATAGCCAAAATAACTAAATCAGAATAACCAAACTCAATTTTTTTAACTACATTTATGAATTTTAAAAACGGAGTTTAGACAAGGAATAGTACTTCCCAAACTTAATTCTTTGCCAAATTTGTTAATGCACATAGTATTTTTTTATGTACACCTAATTGAGTACACTTAGTATTAATTTATTTTACAATTCAGAAACAGTGATGATTTAAAATATTTATTCATTGATTACTGATCCTAATTTGGTTGGGTTTTAGGATATAAAACCTCAATAAAAGGCTACACATTGAATAACTCCATATGTAAAAAATCGAGTTGAAGAATTTCTGTTAAAAGCTATTGGATTGAACTTTAATGTAAAGCATGTTATTAGCTTGAAAAATTTACAAAATATTCTTTTTCGAGTTAAAATACTTAGGACAACTACAACAGATTAACTTATCAATTGTTATGAAACACTCGTGACAATTTATTAATCATATTTGAGTTATTTCTCATATGTTGTTTGTTAGTTAAGGGACATTATAGTTCCTTCACTCATAAAAATATTTGAATAAAAAAATTAATATAACTGTTATATTGAGTAAATGTATAAATTAGGAGGCTAGCCCTCCTCTAGTTCTGTCATTTAAAACATTACATAATAATTAATATGGTAATCTATTTATTTTATTTTATAAAATTAATTTTTGCTTTGAAAATAAATATATTAAATTTGCCTTATATTTTTGGAATATAATCACTTAATTATCTTTGTTTTATATAAATATTTTTACATAATAGTAAATATTATAAAATAAAAGAAACATTTTTAAGGAACAATTACTTAATAGTAATATTTTAATATAATAAGTATTTATATAGTTGAATAAATAGGAATGAAATCATATTTCAAATAGTATCTTATTCATTGATAATATTTAAACTAAACAACAAAAATTTCAAATTTAAAAATAAAATTAAAATGTCTTAATGCTTATACCTGAATAGTCCCTTAAAATCCAATAACTTTGGGGACTTTCCTTCTTTGGACGCCTTAACTCGGCCCTATGTATGATAAGAACCGATCATGTCATTATATCTGACAGTATCTTGTAAAATAAAGTAAATTTAAATGATTTTTATATTTCAATATTATATTCATCAATTTAAAATGTTGTGTATGTTTTTAATATTCTACATTGTTATTTAAAATATGCTGAGTCCTTTGAGCGTTGAGATATTGTTTTAGGAGAAGATAGGAAAATTATCACCAGCACTGTTTATTTACGCATCCGAGTAAAGTATACATTAATTACACATCGAGTTCGGAGCACAGAAATCAGAAAATAATTTCGAGAGGGGGAATATTGCCTTTCTTTTGCTAACCAAAATTTTTTAACGCTGTATCACTACTTAAGAAAACTCGAAAAAAATTTGAACAAATTTAAAAAAATAAAAACGAATAAAAAAAATTTTAATTTATCAATAATTTTGAACAAATGTATCATATAATTAATTTTTTATTTATACTCTTTTGAATATCATTGCAAAAATTTTACGATTTGTTTATGAAGCTTAAAAATTTTTAAATCTATACAAGATGAGATATTTAAAATCTTCATTCCTCGTAAATGATAACTTAAATTCATTACTCTACTCTGAACAATTTCAAATTTGTGACTATTAATAAGTTATTTTTCAGTCGTTAGTGTTTAATAAAGTTAAAATGGGTAATTAAAATGTTTTATTTATATTAAAAATAAAAAAAAATAGCTAAATAAAATAAAAATGTATTAATATTTACTTAGAGTTTCCTTTGATTTTACTGTTATGTACACTTAAAAATTATTTCAATCGTAACTTTTTTTACTAAATTGTTTATTTGAACATTTTTTTCGTGGTTAAAAGCTAATTAATCTTGTTGAAATTTTTCACTCAAGTACAATTTCAAATTACAATAAAGTTTTATGTATTAATTTTTAAGAATTAAAACTGTCTAAAACAATTTTTCCTATGTGGTTCTTTACAAATTTTTATACAAAATATAATTTTAAGACTTACCCTAAAGAATAATAAGTTTATAGAACAACATTGGTGCACTCCTGGAAAATGTAACTGATAACTGGATAAATATTCGTTTACTGTGCTTTGAAACGAAAGCCGCGAAACTTTTCAATACACAAGGCTATAAACAAGTGATTCTTTCTGGCTTTAAGTAGCGCGCCACCTACTTATAAAAATCAACTGAATATTAGTCCCTTCCCTTAGCCTACGTCGCTTAAGAGTTAAATAAATATAATTTTTTAATTTAATGTAATTTTAATAAATTTTATAACAATTTTGTAGGACTAAATATAGGGTATTTTGCTAATACTTATTAGAAAATATTTAGTTTAATTCATTATTTATTTGTTTATAAGGTGATTCTTTTAATATCTGACACTCAATTTATTTTAAAATAATATTTTTGAGATTTTTTTTTGTTTACTTTTGATAATTATATATATATTTCCATTTATCTGTTATAATATAATTTTTATCCCTCATACAATTTAATGGTATTAACTTTATTAAATTTTAAACATATTCCTGATATATCACTTTCCAAACGAATTTTCCCAAATTAAATCTAATTTATAAAAAATAACATATTTTTTCAAATGTTGTTATTTATTCTATATTTGAATTGATTAGTTTGTGGTATCTTGAATCAATATAATTAATTGAAAAAGAGTATACGGCTATCTATACATAATTAAATATATAATAATGCGTAAAGAATAGGAAACCATTCAAATAAAATCTAATAAAAATCCTACAGAAAAAATCAATCCAGTAAAAGGAAATAGATAATGGTTTAGACATTTTTTTTTTGCCCTTCAATTACTCCTCTGAAGATGTGTTAATTTTTTTTTTAATAATATTAGATAATTTGGGTTTTAAAGAAACATTAATAAATGATTCTTTAGATTACGTTTTTTAAAATTACGCGCTCAATGAAAATGATAGACAAAAAATGATTATTCTCAATATTTAAATTTAGTTCAAAGTTCTATACCTAATGATTAATCTTTATTTAGGGAATTTGTTACGAGTAAAAGATATTCTAAATACTAGAAGAGGGAATGATGAAAACATGGATTGGAAGGAGGAGCGGAGAATAGAGAAGAATTGAGTAGGTTTTGTTCTATGGCAAAATAGTCTCGAAGACCTTAAAAAAAATTTTTTTTTAATCTGTGGTAATTAATGTTTCCACAAGAGTTTCTCACTCAGACCATACTCTCTTTCTCTTATATAGAAATGACCCCAAACCTTATAATTCAGTTCAGTTGATCTTAATTCTTTTAGAATTATTAATAGCATAAGTCATTGTAACTTACTACAAAATTATTTAATTGATTTGTAAACATTGTGTAATCTTAATTACGTAAAAACTAATTTCGATAAATATAAAGTTATGGTATTTACTTGTTCTACCTAAGCATTTCAGTTTAATTACAATGTTAAAAGTTAGAAAGTACTATGTAGAGTTTATTTATATGAACAGTTAAGTATACTTTTTAATTCAAAATTAACTATTAATGTAAATATTTTACACTTAAAAATAAAAAATTACAGCTTCTTGGANCGTAAAAACTAATTTCGATAAATATAAAGTTATGGTATTTACTTGTTCTACCTAAGCATTTCAGTTTAATTACAATGTTAAAAATAAGAAAGTACTATGTAGAGTTTATTTATATGAACAGTTAAGTATACTTTTTAATTCAAAATTAATTATTAATGTAAATATTTTACACTTAAAAATAAAAAATTACAGCTTCTTGGATTTATTAATAGAACTTACCAGATTTTTTCATCTATAATTGTTTTTAAAATTTTTTTTTTTTTTAATTATTTGTTCTGTTGTCGAGTAGATGTATTAAACCAAGTAGGGGAAAAGAGAATTCTGTTAAACGCCATAAAAGAAAGAAGTGGAAAAATGTTCGGTCACCTATTAAGGCACAATTCGTTTATAACAAATATATTTGAAGGACGAATAAATGGACACAAAGGTAGAGGTAGATTGAGGAAAGCATATATAGAAGAAATGATAAGACAAGCTGACTGTAGTCGATACATAGACATGAAAAGACTGGCTTTTAACAGAAAAGAATGGAGATCCAGATTTGCAACGACAAGGCAAGGCCTTTAGTAGAGAAGAAGGAAGAAGTTGTTGAGTATGGTTCGATTATTTGGTCTCTTTATTCAGATAGCCATATATCAACACTTACAATTATTTTAAGTCATTTTACAAGAATGTTATCTTTTAAATTTATTATTGATTGAATCTCACATTCTTCATATGATCCAATGAGTTAGTCTTCTTTGCAATATACTCCTAAGTACTAGAAATGTGATAAGTGATTTTACCTTTTTATAAAACGTTTTAATTCAAAATATTATATATACCATTTAAAACTATTGAATAGTATTTATTATTGTCCTGAATTTTCAAAGAAACTTAATTTTTATGTTACTTGTATTAATACTAGATCTTCCAATTTGTTTTATATAGAACTGAATCAGTACGATCAATGATTAGTACAAACATGTTAATAATTAACTAGTCATACGAATCATATCTAATTGTTATAAATATAATGTTGAGTTGTTTGTTTTCCCTAATATTAATATTTTTAATGACTTTTATTAATCAAAATTTAAATATTTTATCCTCGTAAATTATTTGATTTAATTGTATTGTTTTATATATTATGTATTTATCTTAATTTTGTGTAATAAATTATAATATAATGTTTATCATTGACTTGTTCCATAAAATATACAATGTAATAATATACAATAAATATGTAAAACCTGAAAATTTTACATATTTCTTACTTCTACTTGAAAACTTACACTGATCATTAAAGAATTAAAAAATTTTGTTGAATATGATACTAAAAATAGAAGGTGTAGCCGAATCGGTAACGCGCAAGTGCCTGATGCGCACTGTCTCAGGTTCGAGACTTGATTACGGGCGAATCCGTTTGCTGAACGGTCAGTTAAGTAATTGGAGTTGCCATTCCTCTCTCTGGAAATGGACTAACCACTCATACCGGAATATACACGGTTAACAAACTTCCTCTTAGAGGAGGTCGCGATCGCTCTGAATAGGTCGTAAAAAACGAAAAACATATACTAAAAATAGTTCTATTCTATTTCTTTCTTAGAAAATTTTTTCTGAAAAATAATTAATGAACATCATGCAATTTTTATTAATTTGATAAATACGAATTTAAAACCCAACTATCAGTACCCTATCACTTAATCATGGAAAGTAAAAACACTGGTAAACATATGGTTCATACGCTATGGATTAAACACGAGGAATTGAAAGTTAATGCTCAATTCCCGTTAAGTCGAAAAAATATTTGCTACACTTCATCACTATAAAATCAACTTTAAATTTCCCGTAGGTTAAAAATAATCACTTTAACCCATCGATTTTATTTAACATTAAGAAAAATTTTTAATTACCAATAAAGAAAACACAGTCGATTTTATATAATTTTCCTGAAATAATTAATTATAAATTATTTTCATGGCTAGAGTTCGTAGGCACTCGATTCTCAATCAATAATATGAGTATATCTGTTTACTTGTATTCAGGCTCGTTGATCACATTTGCTAACTATTATAGAATAACCGATTTGAAGACACTATCTAACGTATGTTTTTAATTTGTGCGACTAGGTTATTAAGGTAAACATAAATAAGGTGCTTAGGGTGACGCCTACATTTTGTAAGCAAAGGTTTTGGACCAATATTTCAGAAGTTATTTATATTTTTATATGTAAGAAGGAGAAAAAATGATGCCAAGAAATGTTTAGTGATAAAAATTGCAGCACCCGCCTCTCATCTTCAGTCATTACTTTAAATTGTTAATAACTTCTGAAATAGTCATTTTTTTAATTAGATCATTATTTATTAAATGAGCTAGTTAATTATGAGTTATAAGGAGTGAACATAAAAATACGTTATGATTAATGAATTAAGAAAAAATTGTACTTAAAAGTAACCAAAAAAAAAAAAGATTNTCATTATTTATTAAATGAGCTAGTTAATTATGAGTTATAAGGAGTGAACATAAAAATACGTTATGATTAATGAATTAAGAAAAAATTGTACTTAAAAGTAACCAAAAAAAAAAAGATTATTATTTTTATTTTTTGACTAATTAAGTGGTTTATGATTAATAAATCACATTCTATACTTTATCATTAATTTCAAATTTATTCCTATCTATTGCAGCCTTATTATAAACAAATAGCTTGTTATCTAAGCTTTAAATTATTAGTAATTTCATCTGCTGTCTTTCTATGTATTTAACGATTTCTAACCACTTATAAAAGTGGTCTACAATAATTAAATAATCATTACCACAAAACGTCATTATATCAGAATTTAATATTCAATTGGCAGTGTAAATATTTCATATGTCAAGTGATCCTTTAATATTATTGTTTCTAAAATTAAAATAGTTCATAAATTTATTTATGTATTGTCTAATTTTATTATCCATACTATTTCAACTAATTGTTTGATTCGCAATGTAGTTTTTCATTTCCATTATTCCCCTCACGTATTAATTTCAAAGCCGTATTTTTTAAATTTTTGGTTATGATTATACTGTTATCATAATAAACAACACCACTTTTTACGATAATTTCATCTTACGATTTCTAATAATTTCTTATACTTACCTTAATTACTTCATATTTTTTTATTGCTTCACTCATAATCTCAATAAATATCTTTACGATCTATTACATGTAATACTTCCTCAATTTCTTTATCTTCTCTTATATTATTTAAATAATTTCTAGATAATAAGTTAGTTATAAACATTACTTACCCATTATTTAATTAACATTAAGTTCATGAGTTATTAATTTTATATTAATTTTCTGTAATTTAACATATACAACCTTATCAATATATATTTTTTTAATAGTCATCAATAATAGTGTATAATATGTTTATAAATTAGTTTTATGATCATAAAATTTCGTAAATGATAAGCATTTCCTTCTCAATTTGCTCATACTTTTGTTCATTTTTACTTAAGCTTCTTGATGTAAATGCTTCAGGTAAGTTTTTGTGTAATAAACAACAACCTAATCTGATTTGTGAACTATCATACTGCATACTAGGAACAAAATAGTTTG